TGCAGGAGGTCTGGGGTTCAATTCCGTGATGCCCAAACTCTTGAGCAAGTTATATTTTTAGATGCAGTTTTATCATGACTACCCTTGGCAGTGTTCATTTATCAACACTACTACTGCCAAGCTCCACATTTGAAGTATAAATCACTGCATTCATACCACACCAATAATAAATTATGCTGACAAATTAAATGTTTTTAAAGGTGCATTGTGTAACTTTTCTAGAGGAGGCTCCGCTACCTGCTTGTCTTCATAATAAGTATTTTATTGTTTTGCCTGAATATTCTACAACATTCAACTTTTCTATCTCCATGGAGATAAGAATGCTACCAGGACAAAAATTATGGATCAGATCTGTGAAGAGGCAAGCCCGCCCTTTTTCAATGTCTTTTTGTGTGATAAAAAAAAAAAAAAAAAAAATCTGTAATTGAATAAGTATTTGATAGATAAGTTTAAAGCCATAGTCTGGAACATTCATAGAAACCCTAATGCAGGCACAAAAATAACATGTAGTGGTGTAAGCTCAACCAGAAAAGAGTGTGCAGCCTGTTTGTTTCCATGGAGATGTTAATGCTTTGTTTAAATTGTCCACAGTATGGCATTAAATCTGTCTTGGATTTATTCAACTATAGGTGTTATTTATTGCTCAAAAATATCTGAAAAAAAAAAAAGAAAAAAAAAAAAAAGTCCATTCTTACTGTGATCAGCTCTCCACAGCTCTCCTATAATTTGGCTTGCAATTCTCCATGGAGATTCATACGTTTATTAGCCAGGCTGGTGCCACCTATTGCCTCCACTCAATTTAATTTCTCTCAAGTGACTAGGTCAGGAATTGGAATACACTCGAGAGTTTGCAAGAATTCCGGAAGTTGTAGACCATGCAACAACCGACAACAACAGCGAAGAACTGTGAAGCCATGACGTCAAACACTTTTGTGGTACAGCACAACAGTAAACAAAACGGTCAAGATGGATGTAGACGAAGTCATACATTCTGTGTTGGCAACGATTCCCGAAATCAACTAAGAGAATGTTTGGTGAATTTTATCAAGGGGAAAGATGTTATTGCCCTTCTTCCTACAGGATTTGGTGCATTACATACGTCACATCCAAATAGGTTGGTTAAATAATAAAAGTACCTGCCTACCGTCGAGCAAACAAATCCTAATGCTGCGAGGTCAGACGGTTTCCATGAAGTGAAACCGGCTGATGAATCAGGCTATAAGTTTATGGCGATACTGTGGAACGTTCTAGGCACATCTCCATGGAGACAAGCAGATGACGGACCCTTCAGCAGACAAGTTACACAGTGCACCTTTCATGTAAAACAGCAGTTGGACATCAGCCAGACTCCATCAGCTGACTAAACCGAATATAAAAGTAATATTTTACGTACCATTGGCTCCTATTGTAGAAGTATAGAGCGGTGCCTCGGTGAGCAGGACAGTGAAGGATGGAGTCACTGCTAAACCAACTATTACTCTACCTTCTCCATTCAAAAGCTGTTTGACTTTATCATACCCAAGCCGTTACATAACTGTACATGTCAGTTCACCCACTCACACCAGCGTAGCTTTATAACTGTTGTCTGTAAACGACTGTTGACATGAAGCACAAATTATCGGAGATGAGCCATTGTTTTGAAAGTCTCTGACCAGACATTTATGGTTGTAACTACCTTCAGGGCTCTTGTTTAGGGATACAAGAAGAGGACTAATGCCAGAAAGTATTGGCTTAAATCATGTCACAGAGTCAGAATATTTTGAATGCCATGTGCCTGTGCTTGTTATTACGTCAAAGTTTAATTAAATCAATTGATCTATGGCCTAAAACAGAGCTATACTGTGGTCTCCAAGCAGGACTAGTTTGACATTCACTTCTGAGCGGAGTGTTCCTTCAGCCTGCGCTTTCTGGCATCAGCACAAGAGCCTCCGTCTTTGAAAAGAAACTTGAAAATTTCGAGAAACAAGCTTAAAATGCGGCGCTGTTTAGAGCAATAAATGCACAGGGTCCGATACCACTGTCGAAAACGGTGGGTTCTCATTCTGACTTGATATCATGCAGGCTGGAGTCTTTGAGTGGCTGTAAAAGCTCGTTCAGGTTACACAATGATGCTATTCTGACAATATTGGGTTAGTGCTTTCATTTGATCTATTGTTAAAGGTTCTATATTACGCAAAACTGACTCTTGTGAGCTTTTAGTCATGGTATAATGGCGTTACCTCATCAAAAACATACCTGGAGTTGTGTTTTGTTTCATTCGTGCATGTTTGAACAACACTTAACGCCTAAATATGCAGGGTTTGTGTGAAACGCGTGACTGAAACACAACATAATTTAATGTTTTTGATGAGGAAACAACATTATAACATGAATCACAAAACAGCGTAATATGGGCCCTTTTAAAAAAATGTCAGTCCTGTTTACCTCTAGCCCCTGCCTTATATCCAGCCCCAGAACAGCAGAGTGTATTTGAACTTCCATACGCTGTTTTTGTCCAACTCTATCGTGCAATTTGCCATTCAACTTTTCAGACAAGTAGATTCTGTTTGAACTCTTTCTCAAACTTACTTGACAGTTCCCGCACATGAGTTGCGTCTATCTTGCATGACCATTCTGTAACCCTAAAACAGTACTCTCTCTTTCTCTCTGCTCTCAGATGTAATTTCACTCTTCATTTTGCAATGTTGGAAATGTACTTGAGAGCCAGATGAAGCAAACTATTAGTGTTTTCCAAATCAATTTCTCCCAAATCCTCTTAAGCCCGCCCTGAGACTGTGCAAAACTCAGTCATGAGGAGGTCGGAACTGGCAAGGTCTCTGATACTTAAGATTCGAACACTTCTCAGACTAATGTGCCTTTAAGACCAGCTCTTACAGGTAGCAGTGATTGGCCATGGATACACTAAAGTCTGGGGAGTTATTTTTGCTTCATCTGGTTCATTCTATTGTAGATATTATGTGATTTTAACAATGAACTGTACATTAAATAGTTATTATACTACACAGCTTTGTGTACTTTCAGTCATTAAAGAAGACATGATGATGTGGTCTTTGTTTTTGAAATCATACATGATAAATCCACTAGGGTATCAGAATCAAATGAACAAAGCTTCTCTTGAATCGTGCTTCTTAGATTGAGGAGATGACTTGACTTTATGCAGCTAATATTATCCAGTAGTGGAAGAAGAAGTACTCAATTTAGTTACTTAAAAGTACATTGTGTAACTTTTCTGGTGGAGGGTCCATCAAATGCTTTTCTCCATAGAGATGTTATTGCTTTGTCTGGAATGTTTCACAGTATGGTATTAAACCTTTCTGTCGTCATGGAGACCAAACTAGACCAAGTTAGAGTTCAGATCTGTCTAAAGGCAACCCCGTGCCTAGTCAGAATGCCTGCTTTTCTAAGTATTTTTGAGCTATAAAACCTGATTCATCAGCTTGTTTCACTTCGTGGAAGCCGTCTGACCTCACAGCATTAGGATTTGTTCACTTGACAGTAGGTGGGTACTTTTTAAAATTTAACCAATCGCTGGTATTTGATCGTGACATATGTAATGCGCCAAATCTCGTAGGAAAAACGGCTTTCCCCATCTTTCCCCTTGATAAAATTCACCAAACATTCTCTTTGTTCTGGCTTTAAATCCTTGATCTCGGGAATCGTTGACAACACAGAATGTATGTCTTCGTCTACATCCATCTCGACCGCTTTGTTTACTGTTGTGCTGTACCACAAAATGGACCCAGACAGACGCTTGAGTTTGGCGTCATGGCTTGACAGCTCTTCACTGATTGGCTGGTGCACGGTCTACAACTTCCGGGGTTTTTGCAAACCATCTAGTGTATTCCGATTCCTGACCAAGTCACTGGAGAGAAATGAAATTGAACGGAGGCACTAGGTGGCGCCAGCCTGGCTAATAAAACTACCTGTAATTGAATAAATGTACAGTAGAGCTTTTTAATGTCATACTGTGGAACATTTCAGGTAGAGCAATGACATATTCATAGAAACAAAAACAGAAAAGCCAAAAAGTTGCACAATGTACCTTTAAGAGAACAGATACCAAAGTAAAAAAAAAACACGTAAAAGTATCATATGAAAAATTTACTTAAGTGAAAGTATTAAAGTACCCATTTAAATATGTATTTAAAGAGCAAAAAATTAAAAGTATTGTGCAGACTCTGAGATCTAATAGCTTCAAATGTAGTGATTTTAATACAAATTTGTGCTGAAAAAAACAAAAAAACAAAAAAAACACACACACAAAAAAACACTGAATTGATAACGTTTGTCCATTTTTATTTGTATATTTTTGTTTGCTCAAATTATGAACATGTAGACTGTAACAGTACTGTAGAAAGTATAGATACCTGCTCTCAAATGTAGCGAAGTAAAAGTAAAAAGTATCCACTTTATCCATTTTATGTTCTACCACGGATAATATCTGTGCCATTACTGTCAAGAACACCCATTTTAATTGCATCTATTTGTATGCTAATGGGACACATTGCTTAATTCTTAAAGCTAAACGACCCTGTAAATGTGTTGTCTTCATAGAATGTGAATCAAGTATGCATTTTTAAAAGGTCCATTATGTAACTTTTCAGGTGAAGGATCTGCTGCCTGCTTGTGTCCATGGAGCTGTTGCTGCTTTGCCTAGAATTTTCCAGACTATGGCATTAAATTGATCGATCTATATTTATTTACCTTTGTTTTTATTGCTCAATTTTGTCTCCACGGAAGAAGTTTAGTTTTAATGCCATAACGTGACACATTCAAGACAAAGCAGTAACACCTCCACGGACAAAACAAGAGGCAGCGTCCTTCACTAGAAATATTACATAATCTCAACACTCTCCATAGACAAGTGGTTGGACCCTCCATCAGTTACATAGCTCACCCTGAATATTTTAGAACACTTTGATTAAAAATACCTGTTGCATTTTGAGACAGAGATTTGTCTTACAACCTTGAATAGTTACGGTAAATAAACAAGCCAAGCAGAAAGTGCAAAGTATTTTTATATTGTCTTTACTGAATACTGAATCTTATTGGCTGATTTATGCACAAAATAGCAATGACAACATTTGTTCCAAGTTCTACCATCAAAAGCTAAATGTTCTAGCAAAGTGCAAAACCCACTGTTCATTCAATTGTATAAAATCGCCTTACAGGATTTTGTCAGAAAACCAAAAAAACCACTAAATGACATGATTCTACGCTGAAAAGAACAAACTGAGCAGTCATTTCTTCATTAATAAATACATGCACTCGCTATCTGGCTCTATATCAGCAAATATCTGAAATGTTTATGAATAAGCCTACTTAAAAACACCAAAGGTAAAGTAGTGTAGCATTGTGTTTGGGGTTAGGTTCACAAAGGCAATCGACAAATCTGGAAATTATTAAATACATTTTCATACTTGTTTCATACATGTTTAGATTTTGCATTAGTCTGATAGCAAACCCCGTTTTCCTTTTTATAATATTCAAAAACAGCATGGTAGTAAGCAGTGTTAAGAAGCAACTGAACACACGTATGACATTTAAACAGTCTCTAGTTTTGTTTACCTTTGTGAAACTAGTCCCTGAAGCCAAACAATAAATTTCAATATTTAAAACTGCCAACAATGCAAAACCGTCATGTAAAACCCTGGTCTCTAGAGTAAAATGATACAAAAGCGCTACCAAAATTCTCAAATACAAAGCAAAGTGTCTTACTGGTCCACATCTAGTTATATTGGCCCATTAAGTCATAACCAGATTTTCGCTGGCTGTCAATGTCAACTTATACTTAAAGGTGCGCTGCGGAACTTTTCTGGTGATGGATCTGCCACCTACTTGTCTCCATGGAGATTATATTGCTTATCCTGGATGTTCCATGGTATGAAATTAAATATATCCATCTAGTATTTCTTCATTAAGAGTGTTTCTATTGCTCAAAAATACAATAATTCCTTCTGTGAAAAGGGGCGACTCTCCGCAGATCTAATTTTATAGTTTAATCTAAACTGTGGAACATTCTTGTCAAAGCAATAGCATCTCCATGGAGACATCAAGTGGCAGACCCTCCGCTAGAAATGTTACGCAGCGCACCTTTAACAAAACAAAACAAAAGTGCACAAAAACACAAAAATAGCCTGAGAAAAGAATTATTCTCCATGCCATTTTACAACTCTTTCAAGGGGTAGTGGCATAACGACTATAATTATTTATGAATCATGTATTTTGATTAATTTTGATGTTTAAAATAATTCAATATTTTGTTCTAAAACTGATTTAATTATTGCCAAACAATAGCACTCTTTAGCTGCCCAGACATTTATGATAAGAGACAACTGTATGTATTTTCAAATGTTCATGGCTCCTAGAATTATAATGTAATTTTAAAAACACAGTAACTGAAATAAAAATGTATGTCCCTATTGCAAAAAAAAAAAAAATTAAATTAAATATACTTCAGACATATAAATGTGATTTATTGTAACACTTAAGCTCCTGTGTACTGATGGTGAGAAGTTTGTACCGGCATAAATAAGTTAAAAGCTGTTGTGATTTTGTTCCACGCTGAGGCACGACCAGAGTGAGTGATGGAGTGTCATTAAAACTGCTGAAGACTGAATGGAGAAAGAGGATTGGTTGATGGGACCGTGGTGGTTCCTTATGGGGGACAGAAGTCTGCGAAGTACGGGTGCTGTAAGGCCTCCTCCGCCGAGATCCTCTGCACTGGGTTACATTTCAGTAGGTTCTGGGAAAACAAAGTATTGTAGTTTGAGCTGAGGGAAATAAATGAATTCTGTGATTTAATCTTATTTGGTCTTTATGAGAAACCTAAATCAGTGTTACTACTTTGGAGGTTGCCGTGCGCTTGTTGCTAGGGTTGTGACGCATAGCTCATTGTTGCAGGGTTGTTAGAAAAAAGCAGGAGCAATTTAAATCACAATTTAACTTTGACAAGTAGCTGCAACTGCAATTTTCTTATTTATTTGAAAAGTCCAAATCAATCCCAAAATGTTAACTTATTGTACAGAATAGTTTTGTAGCCTTTGGTTGTATTATTCTTGCACCATGTTACATTTGTAGTTTTTAATTCATATATAAAATTCCCTGACAGATGTATGTTCTTGAATCATCTTATACATATGGTTGAGTAATGAAAAATCGCCATCAAAATTTACATTTCGGAAAACAATGTCTTTTGAATGGTGAAAAGGCCTCAAAATGGCGCCTATATCACAAAACTGAAACCCATTAACAACAAGACATAAGTGGGATCACATCTGTTAAACATGACTCGGTATCTGTATTTAAGATCTCAGATATTTCTGCTATAATTATATAAATACAATAAAAATACATTTGCAATACATTGTACAGGCAAATTCAGGAGTTTTTTTTTTTTTTTTTTTTCCAAATATAGGCCTACTCAACCATGTGCATGATGCTAGACAACTCCAGACATGTTTTTTGATGAGGATACAACATCATAATGTTGTTTATATTAAATGTTAATGTTTTATATTAAAAGTATCATCATTATTATTACTATTACTAATCTGCATAAATAAACTCAATTTTACAACATAGACACCATAACCACTATAGAGCCACATCAGCCCGTTTGAGATTCTAATGTGTTTAATCAAGCACAGGCTTCCGGATTTTAGTAATATGATCAAACTTAAAAGGGCTTGTCTATTTCATAAGGTCATACACTCCCTCGCACCACCACCATTTAACAATTACATTAAACGTAAAGATATTTCAGAAAGAATCACGCGAGCCAGCACCAGGGGTGACCTGGTCATACCCTACAGACGGACCACCTTTGGTCAGAATGTTTTATCTCTCCAAGGTGGAAATCTGCGGAACAGTCTTCCACTAACCCTGAAAGAATGCCCTACGTACAGCTCTTTTAAAGCTCAAATGAAAACTTGGTTATGGTCAAACCAAACATGTACACATGTATAGCTGCACTGTGATTTTAATTGTTTTTCTATGGACATGAATGGAGTATGGGAACTGTGCAATGAGTGGAGTGTGCAATGAATGGGGTGTGCAATGAATGGAGTGTGCAATAATGGGAACTGTGCAATAATGGAACTAAGTAATGAGTGGAGTGTGCAATATTTTTGTGTCTGGCCCCCTGTGACCCTAGCCCTTTGGGACAACGGATGGAAATTAGCCTTAGGCTACAATCCGGTGTGTTTACATTCATGTTGTCATGTTTGTCCATTAACATGCTCTGTCCCAATCAAATAAATAAATAAATAAATAATGCAGGTTTGGGCAAATCTTACAGAAACAAAATCTAAAACCACATGGCTAATTTGCACAAACTAAGCGAAAAAACAAATAAACAAAAAAAAAAAAAACAGCTCTTGTCAGCTTGTGTCGGATTAAAGGACACGACTGAGTGGAATATAGTTGTTCTTTCTGTGACAGAGGGATGATGATACTGATGATGAGTCCGTTCTGTGTGTGTGTTGCGTTGGAGATGGTTCATGTTTTCAGAGATCACACGTGAGCAGGTTTAGCGCAGTTCTTTATGTTGCAGTAACCGGGATACTGCGTATACACCGGGATACTCATGTGTATGTAAACACACTCATTGAGTGGTAAAGTGAGCTCCAATGAGGTGCTAGAGCCGAAACGTCAGACTGTGAAGTCGTAACTCCAGTGTTTGCCCTGTCATACGCAGCTTCATATCTACGCACAGAAACCTACATTCGGTTTGTCAATTTAAAATGAACGTGATCGACGAAATTCTTAATGATCAATTATTGATTAGTCGACTAATCATGCCCATCCCTAATTGAAACTTAGGCATAATATGGAACATTTGGCATTACCTGGAGTAAATCCCGCCCTGTGCTACTTAGTTTTGGGACCACGTTGACCAAAGAGGTGGTGGCTGGATACATTGGATATGGCTGCAGACAGAAAAGAAATCAGTTTCAGTGTTGGTGAGGCAAACTTTGTACTAACTGTTAGAAAATCAATAACTCACCTTGTAGTCTGGGAGTTTGGTCATTGTGGGCCACTGCTCCTCAGTCGGTGTTCCCAACAACGTGCTCAGGTTAAAGATACACTAACACAAGCAGGTTTCTTTGGGGTAAATCATTCAATAGTGGAAGATCAATACAAAACCATTACCATGTCTTGGGTTGTCGGCTCACTAAGCAGAAAAGAGATTTCTACTTTTGTCGATATCTACAAATTATTCAAAAGGATATCTGAAGATTCTCTTGAGTTGATCGTCCACATCGTTGCCAGGGAAGAGGGGGCGCCCTGCGTTAGCCAGCTCTGAACACACAATACAGATTGCATTATTAAGAGGTAGGATTTGTAAGCTGAATTTTTAGGGGTCTACTTAAATAGTGAAGGTGTTTGAGTGAAAGCCTAACCTGGGGCAGCATCAATGTTTTATATAGGAGCAGAATGTGCTGAGCCAAAGCTTTAAGTCGTTTCTATAGGAGCCAGGGCCTAATTAGACTCAGCACCCACAGGCGCTGATTTCACTGCTGCTAGTTAATGTATAAACGGCAGCACAGGTCTCAAACTCTATTACACTTGGTAACTGAATGTTTTTCAACACCTATAGCCTGGATAACCCGATTTGAGTTCTGTACAGAGTAACAAGTCTCGACACAGTTTATCAACTAGTTCAGAGGTGTATAAACTATGGCACGGGGGCTGAAATGCAGTCCTCAGACCAGTTTTTGTTGGCCCTCAGGCTTCAAGCTGAGAAGAGGTCAGATTTCATACAATTTTACATTACCTTTAAAGGGTAAAGCCATTATTCAACACCAAAAAACATGATGTTGTCCACTGAAAGGACTAAAAGCCATAAGATGAATATGGCTAGTTTGTAAAGTTCAACATATGTGGATCATAAGTTTGAAAACAGTGTATTTCCCATAGAATAATAAAGTCCCTGGCCTCTATCTGAAGTGCTGAAATTATTCTTTATCTTTTTATTTATTTATCTTGGAGAGAGATTTATCAAATTCTCCAACTCAATACTGAAACTGCTGATGATAATTCGGATCCAAACCCCAAACGCAACCTTGACATTTTGGTGTGTTGACAATTAAATAGAAAAGTTTGAACACAGTCCTAGTGTGAGTATTAACCATAGATCAGGGATCTCCAACCTTTTTCCGCTAGTGAGGTCCCTTTACAAAACAAAAATACCAGAGAGCTACTCATTTTAGCGGTCTCAAGAAATTGAGAAAGTTTAGTAGCCATGGAAAGCCTTAGACAAGGTACAGTTAGACGCCTATAAAACGTAAACCATTATCCATGTATTAGTTTACAAGTCAGACATCAAAATTACACATTTGCAGTGGTAATTAATGCCATTTTAATGATAAACCACAACAGATATAATTCAGAAATCCCTTGGCGAACTATTTGGAAGGGGGTGGAGAGCTACTGGTAGTTCCCGAGCTCCAGGTTGGAGACCCCTGCCATAGAGTGTATAAAGAAGTGAGTGTGATGTGACCCATAGCACTCGGCTCCAGTCAAATCAAGCTCATGAGACTAGCAGTTATGGGAGTGAATTTGAAGCCAGTTCCATATTAGGAATAAGAATTGATTTACTGACAAAATAGTGAAGTAAAAACACCTGGATGATGTAGACCGGGTTCATTTTAAGACCAAAATGACGAGACACACTGCAACAGTTACAGACAGAAGGGGTGACAATTTTTCAATGTGAAGTGAATTGGAACTACAGTCATTGTAATCCCTCTGGTCACTTCCTATACAGTCTATGGTAATAAACTTTGACAACCAAAAATAACAGAAATTATATGATGAACTCTCACCTGCAAATATACAGCCAGCAGACCACATGTCGATTGAGGTAGAGTAGAGCTTAGCACCAAAGAGCACGTCTGGGGGCCGGTACCACAGAGTCACCACCTACAGGACACAGAGAGCACTGCATCACACACGCTGGTGACAAATGTGCAGCGATTATGAGCCCTATTCTGAGAGAGGCCGGACATTTTTAAACTGACAGGACTTTGACAGATATCGCCCGGGCGAGTTGGCAGCGCTGTCACTTCTCGCCATCTGCTCCTCGCACTGTTTCTTGACATCTTTAACAAAGTCCTGCAGCGCCAGTCCAACAGAGAGACTCATTTCTCTTTTAGTTACCAGAAAAAGTCCGTAATGAAGTGCACATTCGCGGAGAGCTCAGAAATAAATGATGAAAAGTGACATTTTTTTTCCAGTGAGTCCGAGTGGGTGGGCTGAATGCAGAGTAGAGAGCGCTTGAATTTTTTAGCGATGCGACAGCTCACCCCTCACTGACCCTGAAAACTTTTGCAGGCAATTTGGAAAAACAACAACACCATAGGATTATTTTGTGGTTTAAAGGTTTTACAAAGTCATACACAAAATGACTGAGTACTTAAAAATGCAAATACATTCAAGTTAACTATAAGGAATTGCTAGATTGAGTCAGTTTTAATTACCATTGATCAATTTGTGTAAACTTAAATTATATCTGTATTGTATTTGCTTTGTATTTCTAGATTCTCAAAGCAATCAAAGCACACTGCACCATTTATCTGCACTTGAGAGAGGCATAAACTCTCACAAAGACCTTTGTAAGATGACTCATCTTCACTAAACCTTTCCTTGAACCTGTCTTTAAAGTCACAATGTGTTATTATTAGATTGTCCGACCCAGACCTGTTGTACTTTCACATATCACCACTAGATGCTATCTACATTACTGCAGTCTGATAATGTGCCAACTTTGGCCTGACAGAAGAAAAGCAGGGAGCGCAGGGAGCCAGAGCAAAGGTAGGTAACAAAGCAGCTTTAAAGGACAATTCAAATATAATAAAATAATATTTATACAATGCACATCTAAAAGCTGTCTACTCTCAGCAAATCTATAATCGAAATAGAAATCCAACCGCAGACCTTCTATTAGTAAGATAAAGTACCCACTACTGTAAGTTACTAAACTATGGATTTCTGTCAAAAAACACTCATTTACACAGAATTATTACATGTGGATATTTTCTAAATCATAATTCTGACAACTTATTATCATTAATTTACCACATTTGTAATTCCTAATCCTTTTCTGACGGTTGCAATAAATATTCCAATTCAGATTCAATTTGCCAATCACTAATTTGCCAAGTGAACATACCTCTGCGGAATAACACCTGACAGGAATGCCAAAAGCTCGGGCCAAGCCAAAGTCTGCCAGTTTCAGCTCTCCGTTCTGAGAAAGAAGGAAAAAACATGCATAAAAATTAACACAAGAACATACAACTTGACTGACTCTTTTTATTTCATCCTTACTCTGTTGATGAGCAGATTCTGTGGCTTCAGGTCTCGGTGCAACACGTTTCGGCTGTGACAGAACGCAAGGCCCTTCAACAACTGATACATGAACGACTGCAAAACACATACAATACAACAGTACACATTAGGATGCCACAGTGAACAAGATAGTCACAAAAATTGCAACACATTTTACCTTTACAGTTTCAGGATCTAAATCTCCATTGCAACTGTCAAAATACTTCTTCAAATCCTTCAATACAAAAATAGTAGTTAGTATTTAGGCTTTTGTAGTACTTAGTAATTAAATGTATTCTCACCTGGTCACAATATTCAAAAACCAAAGTTAATTTCTTGTCACTGTGCAAAACATCATGTAGCCTACAAAAAAAACACATTAGTTTTACACATAACTTTAAAGGCACACTATAACTTTATCTGATGAGGGTCTGACACCTGATGATTTCCATGAAGAGGTTATTACTTTGCCTGCAATATCGTAGTGTATCATTGAACCTGTCTATCTTTATAGAAATAAGGTGATAGCATGTTTTTCAAGGAATAATAAAATAAAAACACCTGCAAGTGAAAAAATGCTTAATGGATTTTAAAGCAAATAACATGAAAACAAGTAGCCGTTGTACCCTTCACCAGAAAAGTTACTTCCTGCAAATTTAAATGGCCAAATATGTGACATAAATAACATACTCACCTAACAATGTTTTTATGTTTTAACTCTTTCAACAGGCAGATCTCTCTGAGTGCTGAGCTGGGCACCCCCTGAGAAAATACACATTGGTATCGCCTTTTTATGAATGAAAAACTGAATATGATTTAATTACACAGCACAAGAAAGTCCATACCTCATCATCGTCGTCTAATCGGACTCGTTTCAAAGCCACGATCTCATGCGTTTCCCTATTTTTAGCTTTGAACACTGTTCCATAAGTACCTATCAACATAAACACCAGGATTAGCTTATAGCATTCCCCAATGGTGTAGCAGCTATCTTTTAACAGAAATGTATTTATCCGGGTTGTAATGCTGACACATACAGATAATGTTTGAAAGGAAAAATACATGATGCAACGAAAAAGAAGATGCCACCTTCCATTTGTAAAGCCCGTATCAATGAATGCTAATGTTAGCTCTGTGTAGCTGTGGATGCTACTTAGCAAATCACAGTGTCATCTGTACAAAGGGACGATCAAACCTTACCCTCTCCGATCTTTTCAAGCTTTTCATATTTCTGCATGTTTGGCTCGTACAGCCAGCCTCGTTCACTGACGTTTGTCAAAACAAATCTGCGGAAGTTTGTGGTTAATTTGGGTTTAGCTCAAAACAAGCTGCACTGTCTGCTTGAGTCGCTCTGCAGCTGACAGGCTCCTCTGCCTCTGGGGACATCTACAGGCGAAGCGACGAACTGCAGCACTGTAGTACCATCTGATACAAAACGATTATAATCAGTGATGGGAAGAATACTTTAAAAATGAATTTAGTGAGCAGTTTTTTTAAACTTTGTTGTTTGAGCAAAATTTTTAACATCATATCATGGGATTTTAACCAAGTGAGAAGAGCAGCATGTGCAGGTCAAAGGACACATGTTAGGGATTGTTGGATAGTGTGAAATGAGATGAGATTTCCCGAATCCATCGAGACCATGCAAAAGGCGAGCTAAGGAGATGGCTATGGACATTTAAAATGCAAATGCTGCAAGCTTTTTACACCAAATGTGGCAGCAGAAGATCTACCTGACTAGTCCTCCTGTTAAACAACACTGACACTTTTGACTGAGACACAAAGGAAACTAAAAGAGACACACAGTGTAAATGTTGCTGCAGCAACATTTACACTTTCCATCAGTTTCCATCAGGATCTCTCTCTCTCTCTCAACAACTTTTACAGTACATTATATTATGGTGTAAAAACATATGTAATTACAAAGAACTATAGTTTTATAGCACTGTTATTCATTAATTCATGTCCAATTAGAGATGAAAAACCTCACATCGTACACACTGCAAGAGCGGTGTTTCTTTTTCTTTTTTTTCATTAATACCGTGCAGTCTAAAGGCAAAATTATATAATGAAGTACCACCATGTATTCCTTTTAATTTAGGAAAGTAACTGTAATCTGAATACCACCCAATGAATACAGTTACTCAAAATTAGCATTCAGAATATGTATTTTCGGTATATATATTCTTTTACTTCCCAACGCTGATTATAATTTAGTGCTTTTTATGTACATATTTGTTTTGTTTCTTTGTATTGTCTAGACATGACAAGTGAATTTATATCATATTGTCTACTACAGCCTAAAGTCAGATTTTTAAAAGACTAGTCTACTAGTCTATTTCATTGAGCGTTTTTAGTTCCAAATGTTTAAAAGGCAAGTACTACTTTACTGATCCCTGTAGAGGAATTTGTCCTCTGCATTTGACCCATCCATCAGAGCCACTGGGGCATCCTGTCAGGAGGAGGTAATCACAGTGCAGCACCCAGGGAACCATTTCTAGATCTTGCGCTGAGCTTGGTCAGGATAGATCCTTGGTCAGGAGGACTCATGGGAGGACTACCTTAGCTGGAGTATTTTATCTTCTGTGCACGCTTTTGAGGAGAGAAACCAGAGGCTCCTCTACCTCTGGGGACATCTACAGACGAAGTGACGATCTGCAGCAGTGTAGTACCATCTGATACATAAAAATATTACAATCAGTGATAGGAAGAAAAAATATTTAGTTACAGAATACTGAATATCTGCATTAAAATTGTTACATGGGCCACTCAAAATACTGTATTCTGAATACTTTGAATTAAAAAAAACAAAAAACACACTTTACCTGGCAAACACACAGAGCAGTTTTTTAAACTTTGTTGTTTGAACAAAATTTTGAACATCATATCATGGGATTTTAACCAATTAAGAAAAGCAGCATGTGCAGTTCAAAGGACACATGTTAGGGATTGTTGGATAGTGTGAAATGAGATGTTTGTTTTCCTGTATCCATGGAGACCATGCAAGAGGAGCTGGCTATGGACATTTGAGTTGCTACAGGCTTTTTACACCAAATGTGGCAGAAAATGTGGCAAAAGATCTACCTGACCAGTCCTCCTGTTAAACTGAGGAGAGAAAGCAGAGGTCCCATAGGAAACCCACTCCTCATTACTTGGGAGTTGAACCATTCTGAACTATTAATTAATATCTGTTCTAAGCCTTGCACCTCCCCTATTTGACAGAATTTTTGTCTGTTTGGAACTCTAACAGGCCCTCAAGGTCAACCAATCAGCTGAAAATCCCCAGAGCCAGACTCAAACACTGGGGCTTTCATCACTCAGTGTCTTTGGCTCCAGACTCAGGAACAAACTGCCCCTGATGTGTGCACCATCACAGACTTTCACCTGTTTAAATCCAGGTTCAAAACTCATTTATTCAAACTGTCTTTTAACACTCAGTAATGTAGTGAAACTTTGCACAATTTGATTTAATGATTGTTTAATAATTTGCATGTTTTTATATTGTGTTGATTTTATTGGAAAGCACTTTGGTCACCTTGTGTGTTGCAAAATGCTCTATAAATATAGACTGACTGACTGATTTATAATATAAACATTCATGTAATGTTTTGTAATTTTCTAAAATATGGTAAATCATAACCCTACCCCAAAACCTAACAACAAAGCAAATGGCTGAAATATTGTAGATATATTAGACACAATAGCCTCATTTTAATAAAATCTCTTTATTAACACCCTTTTCTAACAATAAAATTACTTAAAACTAAATGTTTTTTTCTTTAAGACTGTACAATAGTGTTCTCATTGGTCCACTCTACACATCTCACTGGACAGATTTGTGTAAACCATTTTGCTAAGCAAACACTTTCTTAATTAATTTCAGTCTCACACTTCTACGCACTTGACTCCACATGTCTTTCATTTCTATAAAGCCATTAGGGAGTTCATTTCTGCTCCTCTGCTCTTTGCCTGCGGATGAGATCAGCGTACAGTCCTCCTTTGCTCAGTAGTTCCACATGAGTCCCAGCCTGAAAAGAGACAAGGTGCTTTAGATGGTAATTAAAGGCTACAGTTCATTTAGAGAGAAGTGTCCAAAAGAAACACATGGATGAACATTGAGTGAAGGGCACGCTCTTGTGCTACAATCAAGCTGTCCAATACCAGAGAAAACGAGAAAAGCCAATATCACTAAATGTACACTGCCCAATCCAATCTCCTAATAGCTGTGACTGCAAACTGGCCTGGGTAAAACTAGTCCATAAAATTTCACTGTTTTGTTTTCCTCTTCCAACAATCAATAGTAGTAGTATAGTTCAAGACTGAAAATTTAGCCAAGTTTTTTTTTACCGACTAGTAGAGTAAATATGAAGAAAGAAGCACAATTAATTAGGCTACAATTATGGCTACAATGAAGCTTAATATATGAGATGAATACATTTTGTTATTGTTTTGCAAAAGAGAAAAAAATATGCTACTTATGCTATAATATAATATCCATTTGTATATATATATATATATATATATATATATATATATATATATATATATATATATATATATATATATATATATATATATATATATATATATATATATATATATATATATATACACACAATATACAACCTCACTATGGATTTTTAAATCTTCATATTGGCAATGACAGTTATAGATTAGTGAAAACAGCAGGCAAGTTAACTATAAGATATTGAAAAGAAAAACCTACATTTGACATCCCTATTTCACATATGAATGAATATGAACATTCAAGTGAACACTAAAGATCAGTTTTAGTGGAATATGGTGGACAACTCAGTAAATTCTAGTCTCTAATTCTGGATAAATACAGAGGGTTGTCATGAGAAAGGGCATCTGCCATACAACCTTTAACAAATAAAATGTGAAAATGTGTTACAAAATGTCTCATAAAAGAACATTTGATTTTTTTAACATACTGCTTTTGGACTTTGTTTTTGCAATTTTTTTCCAAGTCAATTATTACAAAATTACAGCCTCTTATATAAAAAAACAAAATCTTGTCATACCTCTACTATCCTTCCATTGCTCATCACACATATGAGGTCGGCTCCTTGGATAGTGCTGAGCCTGTGCGCGATGATAAGCACGGTGCGCCCCCTTGTGGCCCGGTCCAGTGCCTCTTGGACCACTCTCTCTGACTCTGCGTCCAAAGCACTGGTGGCCTCATCTAGCACCAGGATAGTGGGGTTTTTAATGAGAGCTCGGGCGATGGCTATGCGCTGTTTCTGACCCCCGGATAAAGTCACTCCTCGCTCCCCTGGAAGTCAACAATTTAAACAGTTATTTCAAGGGCATAAAAAAACTGATGACTTCACAAAAGAAGCAGAAATGTTGACACTGACTTTTTTAAAGGGCCACTACATACTATACTATTTTCTGATTTATGTTATAATGCTAATTCGTTATCATTAACATTCTTGGAGTTGAGTTTTGTTTCATTCGCAAATGTTTAACAAACAAACCCTGCATATTTAGGCTGAGTTCTTCTCTCAAATGGAAAACACTGTTCCATCTTGTGATGCCATGTAGTAATACAGCAAGTGCTCCACTGCATTTTTAAACTCCATGCACCTTCACTAGAATCATTTAGATCATTTCAGCCCTAGAACGTCCAGTCTATACTAAATAAAAGGTAAAAGGTAGTGATTAACTTTAAAACTAATGCTTCATGACATCACATTGTGGAACAGAGCATTCTGAACTTTGAAGATATAGACAGCCCAATAATTCAGCATGTGTGAATGAAACAAAACACAACTCTGGGTATGTTTTTGATGATGTATCATGGCTTTGAGCTCATAGAAATCTAGCAGAATTTAACATAATATAGGACCTTTAAATGCATAAATTAAAAGACTATATCCTGTCCCTTTCCCATTTGTTTCTCTTAAGATCTGTGTTAATAAGTGTTAAAGAGCACACATACCAACCACTGTGTTATAACCGTCTGGGAAGCTCATCACAAAGCCGTGAGCATTGGCCTGTTTGGCTGCATTAACCACTTCTGCATCTGAAGCCTCGGGTTTCCCAAAGCGGATGTTCTCCATGATGGAAGATCCGAACAACACCGGCTCCTGCACAGACACAGCAGAAGATCTAATCTGCTGCTCGGAGCAACAACCAACTTAAAGGTGCACTATGTAACTTTTTGGTTGGGAGTCCTTCACCTGTTTGTTTCTATGGATATGTCATTGCTCTGCCTGGAATGTTCCACAATATGACATCAAACAGCTCTTTGTTACATTTATTCAATTACAGGTGGTTTTACAGCGCAATAATACCTAGAAGAAACAGACATTCTGACTGTGAGTGGGGTCACCTCTTCACAGATCTGACCTGTAACTTGGTCTGGTTTGGTCTCCATGAAAATAGAAAGGTTAATACCATACTGTGAACCATTCCAGATGAAGCAATAACATCTCCAGGGAAAAAAGCATCTAACGGACCCTCCACCAGAAATGTTACACAATGCACCTTTAAATGACAACCCATGAATAAATAATTTAGATCCAATTAACATGCTTTTATTCACCTGATTAATGAAGCCAATAACTTGACCCCTGAGCCATGACAGGTCCAGAGTTCGTATGTCAAGTCCGTCCAACATAACCACTCCATTGTTGGGGTCATAAAAGCGCTCCAGTAAAGCAGCCACAGTTGATTTACCTACAAATCAAAATACACAGTGAAATAACATAGATCTCGCAACAGTTTGATAAATTGTACTAAATTGTTTCGTTACCTCCTCCTGATTCTCCAACAATGGCAACCGTTTTACAGGGGGGCAGAGTTAAGTTAAGCTTCTTCAGAATTTGATGGCCAGGTCTGGTTGGATAACTGTAAATGAAAATATGTTTTATCAACTAAATATTTTATAACCAATTTGAGACTGACTCAACTAGGCTTTGTTAAGGATGCGTTAAAACTATTCTTTGTTTGGCTATTGAGACCCCAATGTCAGTAAATACATTGAACAATAACTAACAACACAAATAAAATTGGTAGGTATTGTAAAGGTTAAGAAAATGTAAATACTAGTACTACAATGTGATTTATTTTGGATTGCACATTTGCTTAAATAGTGTAATGAAATTTAAAGGGCCCATATTACGCTGTTTTCTGATCTGCGTTATGTCTACATTTCCTCATCAAAAACATATCCAAAGTTGTATTTTGTTTTATTCACACATGTTTAACACAAACCCTGCATATTTTGGTTCTTCTCTCAAACAGAAAACTTTCCCTGTGATGTCATGTGGTAATACAGGAAGTGCTCCATTGTGTTTTTAAACTCTATATACTCATCCAGAAACCATAATCATTTGAATAATTTAAGCCCTGTCAAAAAGTAGCTGTTAACTTGAAAATTATTGCTTCATGACATCACAAAGTGGAACAGAGCATTTCCAGCTTTGGAGATGTAGAAAGATGAAGGATAAAGGGTTACTCAAACATATGTGAATAAAATAAAACACAACTCTAGGTATGTTTTTGAGGAGGTAATACCATTCTAACATGGCTTAAAGCTCACAAGAGTAATTTTTTGTGCAATACATAGGACCTTTAAACTACAATAGATGTAATTCTAAGATCCAGTTAATTATAAAGCAATATAATGCAAAGTAAAACTAACCAAAAAGAGACATTCATGAAGTCCACTCTCCCGATGAGTGAATGGTAGGGGATTCGGCCTCCCATGTTAACTGGAATGGTGGGCTGTAAAGCAAGGTACTCAAAAACACGCGCTCCCGAGCTCATTCCTCTCACCACCTACAAGCAAAACAAAAATATACGTGATGATTCTAACCTTTTTGAACTGAAATATGTCACCAATCAATTTACATGTGACTTACCTGCCCAAACAGGATAGAAATACTAGCCAGTGACCTAAATTACAGACACAACATGTTTATTAGCTCAAGTAGTAATAATAGGAAATGATATGAAGTGATATACTGAGCTTGTTACCTCTGTACTGTCTGGGAAGCCACCAGGAAGGACATAAGGTCTCCAGGGGACATTTCATTGTTTGATATTAAAGTACCTCCAGCAAAAATAGTTCCTAGTACAATGCCTATGTCAGGAGCACACAAAGCAATTAGCATTTTTCACACAATATAGAGTACTAGTATATCCTTCAATGGAATTATAAAAACATACTTACTGTTCAGTGCTATATTAGACAGTCCTTGAAAAATGGCTATTCCGTTCCCAAGCGTTTCATTCATGTCGCAGGATTTGTCAACTTCGTGAGCATATAATCTTTATGGAAAATAATCAATCATAAGTACATAAGTGATGAGTACTTTAAAAGTTAAGTTAAAAGCGACGTACTGAAGCTCCCGGTCTTCCATGGCAAACGCTTTCACAGTGCGCACATTTCCAAGAGCCTCATCTGCCACACCGGTAGCTCTGGCAACCTTTGGAGAGAAACAAAGATATGAGATTTACACCTGCACTCATTCTGTACTCAGCGGATTTTACATTAGATTTTACTGCAACTGATGATTGTGTTAGTGGTTGATAAGTCAGCGATTCTTTTTTCAATTAGTCAACTAGTCAAAGCATTATTTCAATTGTACACTGAGACTTTTAAAAATACATTTTTAACCAAATAAATGTTAAAATATGCTGACTGAAGACTTGTAGATAGATACTTTTTATGAATAAAATGAATTACTAATTACTAAAAGAAACGGTTTATTCTTTCTTGACTTTTTGATTGAATAATTTGTTATGAAACGTCTTTTGGCATGTACTTTTGTGTCACTACAGTCATGTTAATGATAATAAAATAAGGCTACAATGCGAATATTTGTATATTTATTTTAATAGTTGACTTGTCACAGTTAATCTGATCAAACGCTGCAGCCCTATTGTACATTGTTTACTCGTTTTCTTTCTACTGCAGAAAATTATTTGATAATAATACCTGACTCCCTCATAACAGAATAACATAAATAATTTCAGTGATGTTACGAGCTCACCTGCTCTTGGGCGGCTCGGGACAGTTTCCTCAGTAGTGACCCAATCAGAGCCCCTCCTCCAACTAAGCAGGGCAGGACCACCACAGTAAGACCAGTGAGTTTGGGAGAGATGAGGTAGAGAGAAACAAAGCACCCGACTGTCTGCGTCACACTCCTTAAGCCCTACAAAAAGAACGTGTAGACGATAAATACAATGAACCAGAAACCCTGTATGGTGATAGGTTCTAAATTATGTAAACTCTTCAATTTTTTTTATTTTTATCTAGTTTATATCTTGGTGAATACATTTATTTTAACTTAAATTTGTTTTGTATATAAAAATTTATATCTTGTTATTCTGGGGCTCTCGCAGTTATCGGAAAGGCAAATTTAAAGGTCCTATAATATGCTAAATTAACTTTGCTTCACCTTGTGATGTCATGAAGCAGTAATTTAAGTTTAAGCTAACAGCTACCTCTTACATTTTGTTCAGTAGAGATTGGCAATTCCAGGGGTGAAATGATCCAAATGATTCTAGTGAAGGTGTATGAAGTTTAAAAACAAGTGGAGTACTTCCTGTATTACCACATGAAATCACAAGGTGGAACAGAGTGTCTTCAGGAATGCAATATGCAATAAGGTTTTGTGTGTTAAACATTCACATGTGTGAATGAAACAAAGTATAGTGTTTGCAATGAGGAAACAACAATATACCATAGACCAGAAAATACTGTAATATGGGCCATTTAAAATGGAATTACTGTAGATAAGGTAAGTAGGTAGGTGGGTAACAGTAACTTTTGTATCTATATTATCAAATGCTATGGGCCCAGTTTATAAGATAAGGATCGCTTCTGGAGTGTCCAGTGTACTTTCTTAACTATGCTGAACGTTTAAAGTTTTTACAGTTTTTTTTAATAAACTAAACTGTATTTTACAAATGAACAAATCCTAAAAAGTAACCTACCTGAGATATAACTAATTTGAAGGACGACTTGAATTCTTGAATGTCTGCAGTCAAACGATTCACCAGCTGCCCTGTTTTATTGGCATCAAAGAAAGCCACATCCTGTCTGAGACAAACAAACGGAAAAATCATAATACAGTACAGTAATGTATGTAGGGCATTTGAGTCACTATGGTCTCAAGTCAGTGGTGGATGAAGTACTCAACTGTGTTACTAGTACAGATACTGAAGATACTAAAGTAAAAGTATTAAAGTACTTGTTTAAAAATGCACTTAAAGAGTAAAAAGTATTTCATGCATATTTCGAGATCTTTTAAAGCTTCAAATGTACAGATTTTGATAAAGATTTCTGCAGAATTTTGTTCCAACAGAAACAACTGAATCAATAGATTTTCTAACAGTTTTTATTTGTATTTTTTTTGCTCACATTATGAATGTGTGAAAAAGAAACCCATTCAACCTTTTCAGCAGATCTCAAACTATCATAAATATACTTTTTCTGGTTCAAAAATATAATGGAGTAAAAAGTACGGATACTTGCTCTCAAATGTAGTAAAGTAGAAGAAGTGTCCAATTTAAAATGTACTTAAAAGTGCATTGTGTAAAGGGTCGGCCATCTTCTTGTCGCTATGGTGATGTTATTGCTTTGCCTGGGATGTTCCAAAGTATGGTATTAAACAAATATATCATGTATTTATTCAATTACAGTTGAGTTTATACTTCAAAACTACCGCAAAAACATGCATTATTACTGTGAGCAGGTTCACCTCTCCACAGATCTGACCTGTAACTTTACCTGGTGATGTCGCCTGCTTATCTCCATGAAGATAGTTAAATTAAATGCCATACTCTAGATTAATTCAGGAAAAAAGTGGTGGACCCTCTACCAGAAAAGCTACACAGTGCACCTTTAAGTAAAGTACAGAAACCTAGAATTTTTACTTAAAGGTGCACTGGGTAACTTTTCTGGTGGAGGGTCCGTCAAATGGTTTTATTCATGGAGATGTTATTGCTTTTAATGTAAGTGTCTGAGTATGGCATTAAACCTTTCTACATTCATGAAGACCAAACCAGACAAAGTTACAAGTCAGATCCATGGAGAGGCAACCCGCTCACACTCAGAATGCCTGTTTTTCTAGATATTTTTGAGCTATAAATCCGCCCGCAATGACAAATCCATAGAAACAAGCAGGTGACGGACACCCAACAAAAAGTTACATAATGCACCTTTAAGTAAAGCCATTCACTACTTTTACTTTGTTATGTTCAACCACTGTCTCAAATTAAGATTTTCATTTACATTAACTTCATTCTTTTTTCATTCAGTACCTCAGTAAAGATGAGAACAGAGTCTTTCGCATATCAGCTGCCACCCTCTCTCCCACCCGTGACAGCAGAATGATGTAGCCACTGGTGAGCAGGCCCTGCACACAGACCATGATTAATGACCACTGAACGAAGCCATTTTCCAGTAAATAACTCTGTGACATTTATGAGTTTGCCTGGGCATTTGTTTATGTCGAAGGGTAGTGAGTTAAACAAAGGAAGGGTGTATGCAGAGGCAATTTCTGTTAAAGTAATTATTTTGTTTAAATTTATCAAACTGGTCTTCAAGGTAAGGTTCAATGTTAGGTGATCTATTTATATGCGAGTCAGGGGGCAATATCACCTACGGCAGCAACTAATGGGTATTTTAGTAGTAGACTGGAAGTATTATGTGCTATTTTATGTATTAGTCGACAAGAAAAGAATTAATTCTGTTGCACAGTGTAGATTGCATGTTGGACATTGAGACATTTTATACATATCATATTATAAGTAACATATACTGACTAAAGCATTTTAGATAAAGAATATTCACACATAAAGTAGATTTATTGATAGGAAATTTTCATTATTTTTTGCCATTTTGTTTGAATATTGCTGCAGTTTGTGTGATAAACTATAACTATGCTCATATAATAATCAACAATTACTAAAAGAGACAACAATTATCTGAATTCTTTTAATTAGTCCCAATTATTCAAAAGAATCGTTGCAGCCCTAACGACAAAAATGTACACTACCAGTCAGAAATACTGTACAATTTATATACATAAAAAAGGCAACAAATATATGATACATTGATTGATGATTTATTATTTTTATTGTTTAAATAAAATAATTATTTAACTTTCTTCTTTTGCTACATAACTCCACATACCTTACTTCATATATTTGATGTCTTCTGTATGTATACAAAAGAAATAGAAACATTGAATGAGATGGTGTGTCCAAACTTTTGGCTGGTAGTGTATGCTATTTGTTATTTACCATCAGTATGGGCACAGTGGGATTTGAAAAGTCAACATAGTATGATTTCAGAAGTGAACAGTCTACAAGCCCCTTCACGATGCTCCAGAGGAGGAGGTTTATACAGCAAGTGTAGTGAGAGTATAAAAGCCAGTAGGCTTCGGTTACACAGCACAATATGCCACGATTTAGATAATGGAATGCCAAATGAAGATGACAGTATAAATATGGCTCCTGCGAGGCAATGCAAAACAGAGAAATGTAAATGGAGGATAAACTGTTTAAATTCTCTTACAATTATGGCAACTCTATCTCTGTCTTTTTATCAGTTTGCCATTGCCTCTCTCCCAACTCTGATTTTATCTTCTACACATCTTACATGAGTTGCCTCTTTGACACACAAGAGTTGATTTTCACACAACAGCTTACCTGCAGCCCGTACAGCCCGAGCAGTTTCAGCGCAGGAACTCTTATCTCATGGACATAGTTTCCAGCTTGTTCTCTGAGATAACGCGCCACAACATTCACTAAATCCCCGAGCATCAGGGGGATCTGAATATTGAGAATAGCAGCACCAAATGCAAGCTGGGAACAAAATAAACACATCCATCAATCGACAAACTAGGGCTGTACTCAAAATATTGATATGGTAATATCAATATTGATACAGAGATGCATATTGTGATGTTTTCAAACAACATAATTCATTATAAATTGCAGAGTTGTAAATTTAAAATACACATGACTTCTGCATTAAGACTGTACTAAAAAAATGACATATTCATCAAGGGCATTATGTACATGAAATTTCAATTTCTTCTAACAGTCCGGCAACCACAAGTATTTACAACAATTTTTACAAATTTCTGTACTCACCACAACAGCACCAATAAGAGCAATAAGCTGAGGTTTCACAAATTCCCAGAGAAGATGCCAGTTAAATTCAGGAGGAGTGTCTTTAGGTCCAGTCTGTGTTGTTACTTCATTGTTGTTGAGGTCTGCTTCACAATAGGCGACTTTACAAAACATTCGTCCGGATACAGTGAGGAGGGCAGGAGCCAGGATGAAGCGGAGGGCAGATCTGGAGGGTCTGGGGGTCTTGGGGGAGCGCAAAAATGTTCTCTGAGCCAGACTCTTAAAATGACGGACTGCATTGCTGGACTGGAGTGTGGGGATGGTAGATTCTGGGGACCTGTGGAGCAACAGCAGGCATGAATATTTAATGATAACAAAAAGACTAATTAATAATAACAACAACAACAATAATAATCATAATAATGCATCAGTTTTCTACAGTGCTTTTCTGGACACTCAAAGGTGCTTTTCAGATCATTTGTCATTCACTTCACACTCGGTGGTGGTAAGCTATTAATGTAGCCATACCTGCTCTGGGCCACTAACAGAAGCACAGCTGCCAATCTGTGCCATCACCACATCACTCACGCACACACCACTTTAATACTAGGCAATGTGGGTGAAGTGCCTTACCTGAGAACACAATGACAGTTTTTGCGAGTGGGTCCCCCCTGTAGCATCTGATTTTCTCAGTGGTCTCCCATCCAAGTACTAACCAGGCCCGGCCTTCCTTAGCCTCTGAGATCTGACGGGATCAGGCTTTGACAAGCCGGTATGGCCACATAGTTTAACTTTTTTGTATTGAAAGCTGATTTTATTATTTCACTTTTTAAAATAATAATACAGTGCTAAATTTGTATAGTGCTTTTAGGACTGACAGACCTCAGTCACCCCACATTCATACATTTCATGTGGGTAAAGTGTCTTGCCCAAGAACATATTAACAGTATGTATACACTGGTCATAGGACGAGTGCTCTAATAGTGAACCACTATACAGCCAAGTATTTCTATAACCTTGCAGCAAGAAGGTTGTGGGTTTGATTACCATACCAGAAGGAGCATATGTACAGAGTTTGCATGTTCTCCCTATGTCTGGTTTTCCTTGCCTCTGCTTCTGATAGGTTGCCCTGTGGTACTGTGTCATTTAAGCAAAGGTCAGATTTCCCTAAACTCTACAATTACATAATAAGTAGGCCTACAAAACAGACAAATACAAAACAAAACAAAAATACAATTTATACGGTCATACAGTCTACTGAATGTATTTCATTATTGTATAATATTTATTTCATATCATAATAACAAGATCTCATGGCATCCACAACATGAAATATGTCTGTGTAATCCCTGAGTCTTCGGTCAGGTAAGATCCATAGGAAAAGGAAAATTCAATTCTGTCAACTGGATAAATGTTTTTTTGAGTGAAGACGTTTCGCAGCTCATCCAATCTGCTTCTTTGGTGCTGAAATGAACAGTTGACAGAATAAAAATGTTCTCAAACATAAAATATGTCATATGGTTAATGCTATAAGTGGGAAGTGGTGATTCAGTCATGTTATGTGTTCAGCCGATCCCTCTGTCAGATGACAGTAGCCACATTAGCAATGATCAGTCCCATACACTCACCGTAAAAGCTTGTAAAACTCCGCCGTTTGACTGCTCCTACGCAGTAATAGCGCAGGAACAGTCGTGTTTATACGACAGCAGACTAGATGAATCATTGCGCTACCCTTTTCTGCAATGACAAGCTAATTAAGCAGTAATAGTGGTTAAGCTCTGTAATCCACTGCAAACATGCGAGCTGCCATGTTGACTTTGACCCATAGTGCAATTCTCTCACTGCTTAATTACATTTTGTTTATAATTTTATGTCATAGTCGATAGAAAATATACATATATCTGCCTCAGCATAATTTACCCAATTTGGAACTCTAGAAAAATAATTACACTTTATTTAAGGTTAAAAAACTACAAACGCGTAAAGGAAGTGACGCATAACTGAACCGGAAAATACGTTATCTATGTTTTGTTGACATTTGTTTGTGTAAGACAAAAACAGTGGACTCGCATTGGAGGATGGTGTATTTTTGGACACTGCTTGACCTCGACAGAGCCTGAACAGAGATACCGCAACAATTTCCAAACAGCTGTGTAAATTCTGCCTAATCTGACCAAGAATGGACTGCGGGCTACGCTAAAATGTCACTAAGCTAGGCAGATGGACAGAGCAAGTGGCGAACAAAACAAAACCGTGTCACCCTGACTACATGAGAGGCTGAATCATCCCCTGCATAGCCACCTCCAGCATCGCACAGTACAGAGGATCGACTGTTTTAACGCATATATTTGGATCGGCTACAATAATCGTTCTGTTAGCATCGTAACAATTTCAAGGTGTCCAGTGTTATTACGCTGTTATTGTTGTGTATCTCCGCAAGACTAGCATGCTAGCAGTGAGCTAACGTTAGCCTTAGCTGCCCTAATATGAACTGCTACATTTACAAGTCACCCTGCGACAAAATGTAGCAGATGTTTTATAATAAACTAACACAAGGCAGTGTTCATTAACAGTAGATTTAATTAAGCGTTGGCCCCAAGAATGTAAGGAAAATGGCAAACTTTGAAGAGTATCAGGAGTATCAGAGAATAGAGGATTTTGAGGAGGACTCCCCACCAGGAGAGGAAGACTTGCTGCTACACGTGCCTGAAGGCCTCAAAGGTAATAGCATATAATAGTATAATAACTTTTATATCCATCAACCTACCAGTTGTAATATTGATTTCAGTTTTTATATATTAGTTGCATTTTGTGATCTTAATGTGTTCTGCGTAAACTGTCAGCTGACTCATTGTGTGATTGTGCATTTTTCAGACTCATGGCACCACATCAAGAACCTGGACAACTTCTTCACAAGAATATCCTTTACAGTTTTATAATTTATACCTTTTCTTTTACATTATTAATTGCTAGATTTCAACTTAAGCGTATATATTCTTGTTGATGTCTTCCTTAACCACTTTATCTACATCTATCATTTCCATCAAAAGAATGGATTTGCTTGCATGATGCTGACCGAGTTTTTTGAGCTTGTGTGAGTATACTATTATGTTTTTGATTAAGGGCATTTCTGTTTCTATTTTTATTTCCATCCTGCACTACTTAGTTAGTTCCTAGGTGCTTGTTTACAACCACTTTTATTACTTGGGAAATGTGTATGTAGACCTTGTTGTTTTTGTAGTAGAGAACACTGCTCCAGGGCAGACCTCCACTTGAACAAGCTCAACAAGATGATTTGGATTGTTCTTGTGACCCCAACAACTCTTATATTACCTTTGTTAAAAATTTCATGGTATATGTGGATTGTGACTGCTCTCAATTGAACCCCGCTGAATCATGTTGTGCATCTGTATATATCAATGCACTACAATATATAGCCTGCTATGGATCACTTTTCCCCTTGGCCTTCCATTTGGGAATGATTAATAGTACATTGTCCTACTTGTTTGTTATTGCTCATGATATGCAGTTTCCAATGAATCTGTTCTTCTCTGTGATGTTAATACTGTTTTTTTCTGACCCATATAGTCAATTTCTGTTCGTTGTCACATTCACAACTTTCCTTGTCAACTGCGTGGAGTATGACGTCCTATTCGCTAACCGGCCCGTCAATCACACCGAACCAGGGCACAACCCCATGGACCGCAACAAAGTCACTCTCCCTGATGCCATCCTACCCAGCCAGCAGTGCACCCAGAGGTACATACACTCAAGATATTCTTATTAACTACTTAGAACAGGGACTGCATCCATAATTAGACTTTTGAGCCAGTTCAAAGCTTTGTTATCATTCCAGGCTATTAAAGAAGCTATTCCACAGACAGTTTTCTGTCTCTATTGTAGCTGTCTTAATATTCTGTAATCACCAGTCTCTATCTCCTATGGGATATCAGACTGCAGCGCTAACATTCTCAGGCTGTAAAAATGGGACAGTGGCCTATTAGTCTATATCCTTGGGCCATTTTGTTCAGCCTATAAAATAAGACATGCCAAGTCAGATAGCATCAATGGTTCAAATGAAAAGAGTTCTTCTTTCAGTAATGTATGCATAGCCAATGCTTGACAAAAATATCAATCCATATATTATTTACTAAGAAATTGCATGAGAGCTTTTAGAAGGGATGTACATTGACATTGGGAGATTGTGTGTTTGGAACATAACCATCATCACTGTATCATGTTCTCAGGCACTAGTGTGGGAATCGTCTTTTTTGTCTGTAAATTAGAAACAAGAAAATAATAATTCTCTAAATAATAACTTGAAGATTATCTGTATTGCAAGATAATCCTCTTTACACGTGCAAGTTTAAATGTACCTGTTTTTTTTTTTAAATATAAAAAATTTAAATATTTCATTGAAAAGTGTTTACTGTGCTCCATATACATATTGCTCACTTAGCTCATGTATTCCTAGCATCCTAATTAATTATTGCGATAAATTTTTAAGTGTTTTTCACATCTTTCAGAAACCAGTAGAGTATATTGTCATGCTAAAGCAACTGGCATGCTATCAGAACTCTTTCTGTTTTGCTGAAAATAAAACCCTCTATAATTAGATGCAGAAAGCAGACATTGCTCTCAAAATACATTTGACATTTGTATTGTGTGATGTGAACTTTATGTCATTGAACAGAGCATTAGTTAGAGATGAGGTCTGGACACTGTATTTTCCCATTACCAGTATCTTTGCGATGCTCTGCACTCTCTGGTTGCATATAGGCTTCAGTTTTGATGGGTTGTTTATTTCTTATTCAGTGCTGTTGCTCTTGATTGCAACATTCCGACAACTTATAGTTATGCACAGGAAGGAATTTAAGTGCTATGTGTCCAGGCTAACTTCAGGGAACAGAGACGTGTAACAGATATCTCTGCTGAGGTAAAACTGTCACGGCGGTAAACTGTGGTGACTGCACTGGCCAGCAAGCTGACACTTCACCAACTGAAAGAACATATTCTCCCTGTCCTTGTTTCATATTTTTTATTTTTTTATTTTTGCAAAACACTCAATTTGTTATACGTTTATTTCATTATTAATTATTTTTTATTGTAAACATCATCTTCCACAATCTGGCAAGGTCAACATAACTTTTCTCCATTATGTTTATTTATGCAATTATGGTTTGCCTAAAATAGTATTGTAATTATTATGATCATGTGAGTTACTAGTGTGGTTTACATACTCAATTAGGTCAGTGTTGGGACATAGGCAGAGTACTTGGAAGCTTTTTAATTATAGGATAAAAGGAAGCAAGCAGACTAGATTGCCCAATAATATGTGATCTCTAAATCAGTGCAGGAAGTTAAGATACAGAGTTGAAAAAGTATTTTGAGAAACACTAGTCTGAGGGTTGTGATACAAAACAATTGCCCCTCCATATTGATCAGTCATGATTATCTATTTTATTTTGTATTATTACAACGTGTGTGTCTGTGTCACCATCCTTTATTCTTTAAATATGAAGTCACAACTCTTCACTCATGACAAAGCCACTGTGGGGCTGTGGTCATATTATGGGGCTACCACATACTGTTTGTCTCTTTATTGCATCATCATTCACCTCCACAAACCACAATCTTCTGTTTGTCTCCAGGATTCAAGAAAACAGCTGGATAATATTTCTTCTCATCATGGCAGCCACTTTCTGGATTTATCGACTCATCAAAGTATTTTGTAATATCCTGAGCTACTGGGAGATAAGACAGTTCTATATCAAGGCACTGAAAATCAGAATGGTAAGAAACTGTCAAAGGCATTTTTAACCTTTCATTCATTACTGTTTGGGTCATATCTGATCTGTTTTGATAAAATATTTGATCTTAGATATTCCATGAAAAACAACTATGAATATATACCACAAACACACCTCTAACAAAAAATAATGAGAAGGTGTCAAATTAGGGCTGAGCAAAATATCATAATCCAGTCATAAATGCAATTTGAGTTGGTGCAATTATCAAATCATAAAGGCTCAATGTTCTCAGCAAAGAACAAAATATTCTGTCTTTCTGTAGAGAAATTTTGTCTTGCCTGTTGTTGTTTAGACCACTGCAAACATGTTCTGAAGTTCATGGGGTTCATGTTTTAGTTCATGTTTCAGTCTTCTTTCAAATGGGAATGCTTTTGAAGTTGTTTACAATGTGCACACAGAACAGGTTTCTACTTTTTTTTTTTTTTACATATGTTGCAAAGGTAATCGCAATTTCACTACTTTTCAGAAAGAAATTGCAATTAGATTCTCTTTTTCCAAAACTGTGCATTGTCCAAGTCTTGTTTTATTTATCAAATGTCTAAAAAAATTGAATATTCATGTATGCTGTCCAAATCTATATTTTCAAATTACTGTTCAAATGTTTACATATTTTTGCTAAAACTATATATAATGTCTTCAGATGTAAACTTTAGTAAGAGGAAATTTTGTCAGACATGAATTGCTTCTTGAACAGCCAAAAGTTGTATAAATCTTTGCATAAATTTCCAGGTTTGCTTGTGTCAGGGTACATTGGGTGTGTTGTAACGTGTTTTTGCTCCGTTCTCATTCCCTCAGGATGAACTATGCAACTTCACCTGGCAGGAGGTTCAGGACCGCCTCATTAGCCTGCAGCGGGAACACCAGATGTGCATCCACAAGAAGGAGCTGACTGAACTCGACATCTACCACCGCATCCTCCGCTTTAAGAACTACATGGTGGCTATGATCAACAAGTCCCTGCTGCCCGTGCAATTACAACTCCCCCTGCTTGGCAATGTTGTGTTCCTCACCCAGGGCCTCAAGTACAACTTTGAACTCATCCTATTCTGGGGTCCCGGCTCGCTTTTCCAAAACAAGTGGAACCTCCATCCTAAATACAAGCGTGGTGGAAACAGGCTAGAACTTGCGCAGCAGTTGAGTCGAGTCATCCTTCTGATTGGATTGGCCAATCTGCTTCTCTGTCCGTTTATTCTGGTGTGGCAGGTCCTCTACGCATTCTTTAGCTACACAGAAATCATCAGAAGAGAACCGGGGAGTCTTGGAGCAAGACGCTGGTCGCTGTATGGCCGTTTGTACCTCAGACATTTTAATGAACTGGACCACGAGCTGCACGGGAGACTGGGGCGAGGGTACAAAGCCACGTCTAAATATATGAACTCCTTCACCTCGCCCTTGCTCACCGTCCTGGCCAAAAACGTAGCTTTCTTCTCCGGCTCGGTGCTGGCCGTGCTCATCGCCCTCACGGTGTACGATGAGGACGTGCTGACGGTGCAGCACATTCTGACCGCTATAACTGTGCTGGGCGTGGTTATCACCATAACTAGGTAAGAACGAGAGTACTGATGAGAACCACTGATTTAGAGCAACATAATCAGGGAAAAAAAATAATTTCTTTAATTTTAGTAAGTAAAAATGGCTTTGGCGTCTGTATTTATTTGCTTGAGAAGTGTGGAAAAGCACAAGAGTCTATAAATTAAGCTTATCAGGAAAATCACGATAGAAGATTACTTTTAGTTTTCATCCCAACACACTTTCTTACAAGGCTTTGATGGAGAAAGATATTGAAAATATTCAAATTTTCAACCCTCAAAAGCGCCCCTCTGTGCTGCCTGTGGCTGCTGTTGGAAGTGTTCAATGTCATCTCTATTGTCCCTGTCTGGTGCCAGGTCCTTCATCCCAGATGAGCATATGGTGTGGTGCCCTGAGCAGCTGTTGCAGTGTGTGCTGGCACACATTCACTACATGCCCGACCACTGGAGAGGCAATGCTAACAAGAGCGAGACCCGGGACGAGGTGGCACAGCTGTTCCAATACAAAGCGGTAAGCTCACCACTGATTGGCAACGGGAATTACACCTGAGACATGGCAACAGGCTGAAAAGAGCAGAATTAGTGGAGGATTTGGGGAAAACAGAGTCATTCTTTTTCATTACAATGTTTACTGCAGAATTGCTGTCAGTCTTTAGTGGGAATGGTATGCTCATATCTTGTTAGCAATAATCCATCTTTCCGCTGCAAAATGAACAATCCAATAAACACACCAATTAGAGGTTGAAAAATTACAGCATGACAATAATGTTTGCCATAATAGAAGCCTTTTATCAAAGATCCCTGTCCAATTCAGGTGTTCATCCTGGAGGAGCTGCTCAGTCCCATCGTAACACCCTTCATTCTGATTTTCCACCTGCGGAACAAATCTCTGGAGATCATCGACTTCTTCAGGAACTTCACGGTGGAGGTGGTGGGGGTCGGAGACATCTGCTCCTTTGCACAGATGGACATCCGTCGCCATGGAAACCCAACGGTAAACACTGTCTGCTTTATGTGTGGAGCTCAACTATTAATCTATCAATACCTATGACTATTTTTAGTAAAAGTTAGCATTATGAAATGTTCTTTTTTACTTCTGTCCTTCTGTCTTCTATACTCCCTATGTGTCATATTTCAGTAACCTTAATAATGATTTAAACATGTATAAATAATGCAAATTTTATGCAGTGGTTGCGCCATTGTATGCTCTACATTAACCATGACTGCCCTTGAGCTTGCCCTAGCTTAAACTCTGTATGAATGCTGATCATGGTCACACAAAATTTTGTGTTAAGATCACTGTGAGAAGAAACACCACAATTTAAAGATGATTCACAATTACTGACATTACCACTGTCTAGTAAATTTCCATTGCCCGAAGTGTCCTTAGATATGTAATCAAACTTTCTGAATGATACAGGAAAATTATTGCACCATGAACAGATGGATAAAAGAGCTCTTTAAGTTTAAGAGTATCCATGGGTTTCAAATGATGAAAAATTAGGACCGTTACCATAACAAGTAACAATTTAAAGCAAATTATTCTATCAGTTGAACCATGAACAGTCCTCTAAACTTGGCTATAAATGCGAAGTTGAAACCCATGAATAGATTGAGTAGAAATTTTGCAATTCAAATCCTCACAGATTTTAATTTTTTTGTTTGTTTGATATTACGATTATATTACAGTTATAGTACAACATAACATATTATTAATGAATCAGATAATCCTGAATGTATTTGCTGTTTATGTATTCATATGTTCCAGTTTCCTCTTATATGGTGCCATTTTGAGAATAGTTGACCATTCCATAGAAATAATATTCTGTTTTAAATTGTTAATCGCGATCTAACTTGTCATCATTCTGATTCCCATGTATTTTCTTGCAGTGGATGTCCGAGGGCCAGACAGAGGCCTCCATTTACCAGCAGGCGGAGAACGGCAAAACAGAGCTGTCCCTGATGCACTTCACCATAAAGAACCCGCGCTGGCAGCCCCCTCAGGAGAGTTCAGTGTTCATCAGCCATCTGAAGGAGAAGGTCCACCACGACGCTCTGAGCGGCCCCAGCACACAGCAGCTTCTGTCCGAGGCTCCACTCTGCACCTCCCTGCAGTCCAATGACTCCGGGGTCACAGGGGTAAGAAATGTCTTTAGAAAGCTACTTGAACTGTTTGTATGTAGTACTTTGAATAATATGGATCGCCAGTCCTATTTCAGTGTGAATCTCGCAAACAAATAGACCAGCATAAGCAATATAGGGGTTGCCAGTATTGTCAAAATTTCATATTTCTCATCGCTTCTTAACCTTTGGCTCAAATTAAATAGATTTTTGGATCAGGGAGACACATCAGTCTGGGATTGAAGTGTCTCTGGGAGCGAATGAGGAAAAGAAGAAATATTTTTCTCTGTATATATTTTGACAGTAACATATTAAAATATTTCTAAATTAAAGGTCTTGGTTGAGGTTCAAGTTTTGTAGAATAAGTAAATGGACTGTAAAATTACCCACAAGAGTTCAGATAAATGACTCTTAATTAAACAAAAAAAAACATTGTTATATTGCCCCTTCCAGTACAAATGAGTATGAATTGCATAAGACCACCAAAAACATGTTTGCCATTTTATCTTTGTCCAGTGCAAATATGATTTAGTGAGTGGGTCAGCCTTATTTTCTTACCTCATGATAAAAATTGGCACACACATTTTTTATCATGAGTGTCTTAAATCTTGCCCATACTGCCTTTTATTAATAGAATGAACTTGGTTCTATTAGGTTTGTGCAGTCAAAATGAAGGAAGCAAATAATGAAACCCTTACATTACATTATAAAACATTATATTGGTTTTAAGGAAGCAATGTACTGCAAATGTATTTATTTATAATTATTCTGATGCTTTATTTTCATGCATGCCTTTTTATTTTATCCTAGTTAATATTTTACCTTTTATTATTCATTGTTTTATGCTGCACCATATTGGCAAAACACATTACTAGTTTTAGAATTTTGTTAACTGACAATGGCAATTAAACCTTTTCTGATTTTTCAATTAAACCTTTTCTGAGCTCTTTACTTCATTGTTTATCTTGTTTATCATTTCTCTTCTGTTGTAGCCTGATAACCTCCTGGCCAGTGTGTTGGCTCACCCCATGTTGACAGCATCTGGACTTCAGGGCCGTGAGCACCGCTTCATTCCCCCAAGCACCGCTGCCTCAGCTGCTGCAAGTGTCCTGGCCTCGCTGTCCACCTCGCAGCTCCACGGACACACCGGCAGGGGGCGCCCCCACGGCCTCCTGCCCACCTCCATCCACCCCGAGCACCATGTATCACAGCGCTCACACTAACAATGACAGGTATGCAAATGTCATCTGGTAGTGTATTTTTTGAAGATCATCTTATAAGGTAAATTACTGACAATATTTTCTTTCAGTATGACAACGAGTGACTGCCGCACGAGAAGCAACGCTCTGCAGTCGGAGTTTGCCTCAGCGGAGATGAGCCTCCATGCCATATACATGCATGAGGTAATTTACTAGAATTTTTTTTAGAATTCAGGCACCAGTGTTTTTTATGATAAAATTTGACCAGTAAATATTCTTCAAATGGTTAAATCATGTGTCATTTATCCAGCTCCACCAGCAGACCTCTAACCCTCAGAGAGTTTCAGGACACTGGCAGAACCCAGTGCCAATGAGAGATCTTCATCCTCACCATCACTCTGGTATTTAAGTCTTAACTAACTAGTTTTAACTTTTCTATGCTAAAATGCACTGATTGTATTATATGAAGTAGTGATGGTGGTATCCTTTCATCCATGGGTTTCAGAAATCTCAATGATGCAAAATTAGTTCCATTACCATAACAATGATCAATTTTAACCTATTAAATGGTGAAAGGTCCTAAAATTGCTTCCTATAACTGGAACCTGAGATTTAACTCTTGTAGTCAAATGTGTTTACTGATTAACCATAGATATAAAGAATTATAACTATTGGTGGATAAAGCTGTAACAAGATGAGCTATAAGGCACTCACACATATACAGCCTAACAACCTATTGACAAAACAATGTACCAAATGATTTCTTATGATTTATCTTTTGAAATATGACAAGAAAGATTTCACCAAAAATATTTTAAAAAAAAGTAGCACATACCTTCTCATAAAACCAAACCAGGAGCTTGTCACACCCCTGGGTACTTCCAGCATCTCATAATATTCCAGTCTAAAACTGTGTAATATTTCCCAGGTGGTCTTAGCACCAGCCTGTCCATGCCCGCTCCTGTGCACCTCGGCGGCTGGAGAGAGGAGGATGAGGAGGAAAATGAAGATGATCAAGAGATTAACAGTGGGTCTACTCCTAAACAGGACACTGGGAGTAGCTGCTGACGCCTTATGTCATAAGGTATGCCAACTTCCAAAATCCACTTAAAGATGCACTATGTCATTTTTCTGGTGAGTGGTATTACAATTATTCAGCCTGCATTTGTTCAACTGCAGGTGGTTTTAGTGCGAAAAATACCAAATATACCTAAAAATTCCTAAAACATTTAAATGTGTTTTTTAGGAAATTTGTTTAAATGTGTTAAGTGGATTCACCTCTTTACACACCTGACCTTTAAGTTGACCTAGTGATGTCTCCATGTAGATTAAAGAGACAGTCTGGAATTTTGGACATAGGACCTCATTTCCTAGTTAGAGTGTTAGAGTGTTGGAGACGTGTGGAGACACTTTTAAAAATACTTCATCCAGTCCTTGTATTTGCAGAGGTCGCTGGGTCTAGGCTGGTGCATGTCAATGGCCATGGTTGGCCTGTCACTAAAACAGTCTTACCCACAAAGCACCTAAAACAAATCTATTATAACGCCAGACTGTCGATGTAAATGTCTGTGTCGATAGAATAATTTTAGAAGTAAAACCAACCTTGCATTTGAAGGATTTCTGTCTGAGCACCAGCAGTGAGTTGTACTTCTTGATAAAAAGCTTATACAAGGAGTGGATGAAATATTTTAAAAAGTGTCTCCACACGTCTCTAACACTCCGGCTAACTAGGAAATGAGGTCCTATGTCCAAAAGTGTGGACTGTCTCTTTAAGTTTAATTTCATATTGTGGAACAACCAAGGCAAAGTAATCCCATCTCCATGGAGACAAACAGGTCTCCAACCCTCCACCAGAAAAGTTACTAATAATTTAAACAAATATGATCAGAAATTGAGTCTGTTTTTCTTTCTTTCCTAGTGTTTACATTGTACTTTCTTCAGTGAACATCGTGGCCTTAGAAGATCTTGATTTAGCATGGACCTGTTTTTGGACATCCATCGAAAGCTTGCATTAGGGTGGGCCAGTTACATACTATGATAACCACTGTCTCTCTCTCTCTGCACCTTTTTGCCCCTGCCCTGCCCCAGCTATGGCAGACTATGGCGTCAGGGAAACCATTTTGTCTTCCGTCCTCTCCACCAAAATCATATGCCATATTTCTTGTACAAATTGCGTCAAGTTAAGTGTGAAACAGAAAAGTAAGTCTTGTTGAAAGTTTTAAAATAGAAATCGCAATTAGGTTTTCAAGAAGTGTGTAATTTCTTTCATCTAACCCGCCATCTTTGATAAACTATTTTTACATGTTCAGTCATCATATTTGTAAATACACTTCCACGTCTTACTTCAGCTTTTTATTTCAGTCTGTTGAAAAGTACAGATAAAAAAAACTACATGCATGGGTCAATATCGTACTCGATTTAACATACAAGCTTTGATGCTGCTACTGCAATCAGAATATATTTATTTTAGACAGTATTTGCTAAACTGACAAAAAAAACAAAACTGCTGCGTACCTAAACGTTTGGACACCAATTAATGCAAGATGTTTTTAAAGGTGCAATATGTAACTTTTTGGTAGGTTGTCCGGTACTTGCTTTTTCTCTCGAAGATGTTATTGCTTTGCCTAGAATGTTCCACATTATGTCATTAAACTGATCTCTTAGGCATTTGTTCTATTACAAGTGTTTTTATTGTTGATAAATACCTATCTTGAGCTGGGTCGGCGCTTTACAGATATTACCTGTAACTTGGCCTTGTGGCGTTACCCGCTCGTCTCCATGTTGATAGATACGCTTAATGCACTACTGTGGAATTTTACAGGCACAGCAACAACATCTCTATGGATACAAGCGGTACGACGTAACTTTGACCAGAAAAAAGTTACTTAGTGTACCTTGAAGTGAAAAAAATATAGCCAGCTTCTTGCCTTAACACCAGTTCATCACCTCCTTTGATACCTCATTGGTGGTGGAAAAAAGTCTCTGTACCTCTAATTATTTCATTATGTGTAAATAAGATACGTTTTTTGTAGTGTACAGATTAAGAAGCATCATTGAACACCTTTTTACAGTCAGTTGTACATTTGTATTGATAAATGCTTTTTTTGGAGCCATGCATCAGCTCCTTATAAAAAAAAAAAAGAGAGGAAAAAATGAGAAAGAGAATGAATAATTTCTAAAAAACAGGGTGTGATTGCTTTTACAAATCCTATTAATAGTGTCCCCGCACATGTTTTTGTGTTAGCTTTAGTTTCAAGCTTGGAATTGTTTACAACTATGGTATCTTTCAGTATTTGTTAACAATACCTAGAACAAAAAACATTCTTGCTTCTCTTACCAGCTTTATTTATTATCTATCCCCTAGTTATTTAATTAGACAAGCAGACTATTTATTGGCAAAGTATTTAAATTATATAAATGAAAATATGTACCTCAAAATCTTGAACACGCCACTTTCACCACCCACTTAAAAAAATGTGTTTTCAATTCGTATTCTTTGCATTTAATTATTATGAATAGAAAAGAAAAAAACAATTCAACCACATATCACTGCATGTTAGGTTTTTAAGATTTTTTTTTTTTTAATTAATCCGTAACATAGAATACCTGTTTATTAGAAAAACATTTATATTTATATTTGATTGTTGAATGTTCAATTGTATGCTCCAAATTAACACAACGTCATTATTCTTTTACTGACCCCTTGTGACTGGAGGTGGTATGGTATGTATTGATTTAAATTTCAATCAGTGGTGAAGAATTCTTTCCAAAATTTTCTGGAATTAATTCATCTAACAAACTTACTAACAAATCATTCAAAACAATAGCACGTTACCTAAAGGGACACTTCATTTCATCAAATGTATGACTTAACTTTTATTGTCATTTTGTATAGACCCTTTAAAAGTTAGAAAACATGTATATTGATTCTGAAATGGAGGCAACTAGAGGCAAAGGTGAAGTGGATCATAATGGGATTTCAATGGTGAAATTGGGATTAGTGTCAGAATATAATTTCGTCAACATTTTTAAAAAAATCTGAAGGGGCTTTGGCAAATTATCTAAATCTGTGAGTGATATCAGAGCCCAGTTTAAAGACAATTTTATTTTACTATATTTGTATATGCAATATGAGATTATAATATCTTTTTGTTAGCTAAATCCAGATTTTTAGGTTTACACAATAGGATTTTTAAGATTATGTTTTCTATTAGATAATTTACTACAACAAATCATACTTTTTGTGAGGCTCAGATACAATTTTGTAGCCAGAAACTGTATTTTTTTCCATCCTTGGTAACAGAAAAGCAAAGTTACTGACATTTACACCTTGGGAATTCAAAATCTTTACTTCCTTTTGGTCTATATAAACCATTAACATTTTCATCTGACGTCAGTTGTATTATGGTCTACTTCATTTTGTCTCCATTCTGTAATTTTGAACACTGAGATGACATGGCATTTTAAAGGGTCTACGCAGAATAGCCGATACAATTATGGCATAACCTCTGGAAAATCTATGTTTGTCAATTGTCAAAGTGTTCATTCTTTAAGTGTTGTGATCACTGCTTGTTTGTAAGATACATATAATATTACAAATACAGTGAGTTAACTGTAGACACTGGCTGGTGGAGTTCACATGTCTCTATACACCTCAATGTGATGTTTTATTTAAGCAGTGCCTTCGTATTAAGGATTTGCTCACTTTGAAAAAAAGCCATTTCTCAGCAATTTATTTTCACAACAAGCAGTGGATAATATATGTACATTGTTGGAAGATTTGTAACTCGAGATGGATTTTTGTGTGTTATATCGACATTATACCAGTCAGACATCATTGTGACTGGAAAAGGTGCTACATTTTCAAACTGAATTTTTGATTTTTTGTTTGTTTGTTTGTTTTTGTTACATTGTTTGTTTGTTTGTTTGTCCTTAGATTCCATAAAAAAATAAAAACACTAGCGAAAACAGACATGCCAAAATATGTAGTTTTGGGCACAGCTTTATCAGCGTGTTATCTGTGTGTGAGTAGAGAGCCAAACCTATCTTCTTTGGAGTGTATTTAATCATTTTAAGAGTGGCTGAAATGATGTGATGTTTACTTGAGTTGAGAGAATAAAAAAAAAATCTACTGGAATCTGTGTCTGTGTGATATTTTATGATCTTCTCCTGCTCTCTACTGGCCATTCATGGTAACGCATCAAAAATAAATCTGACATTTACTTTGTGAAAAAGATACCAGCTTAGTTTTAAATTACAAAGGCTGAGGTTATTCTAAAGGCCATGTAAGTTAAAGTATCTCATGTTTATACAAATGTACTGTCTCTGTTAACAGCATGGGAGATGAGGTGTAGCCCCTTAAGCGCCCTGCTTAGGTGTTCCAGACGTGGAATGAGACACACTATAACATAATGAACTGCTAGTAACATTACTTCGTATTAATTAAAAATATGTTGGAGAATTAAATCACCAGTGAGCACTCTTTACATTAACGCAATTTACCTCAATGCATTAATTCTAATACTGTCCCTACAGATATGCTTTAAAACAAAAAAGTGTAACAAAACACAGCCAGTATTATAAAGCTATAATGTAATTTTGTCATATATTTAGCTGTAAAAAAATATTATTCAAAATAGTGTAAATACATTTCTATATGTGCAACATTTAATTTCCCTGTTGTGGGGTAACATAATGGTTTTCTTACTTTATTTGTTAGTTACAGAACAAACCAGGACACAAGTAAAAATGATAACCCACTCAAGTTTGAACAATTAATGTGCTGTTTGCTTAAAGCTGCACTTTTCCTATTTGATGGGGACCACCACTTTCTACATGAAAGATGTCATTGCTTTGTGTGGAATATTCCACATTAAAGAAAAAATGTCATGCTTTGAGACAAGTAGTGAGAAATTTATGTAATTTATGAGCAATAAAAATACCTGTAATTGAATAAATTCAAACTAGATATGTTAAATGCTATATTGTCTAACACTGTTTCTATGAAGACAAGCAGTCTGAAGATTCCACCAGAAAAGTGACATAGTGTACCTTTAAGTTACAAGTGAATTCTTGTTCTAAACATATTTTCAACATAGATACAACTGGAAAGGTGAAAGAAAATAAAGATGCTGCAAACTGTCCATGAGTTTAAGAATGATGAATGAGACAGTAGGACAGTTGTCATAGCGATTAACAATTTAAAACAAAATATTATACCTTCTGAATGGGAAAATGTTCTGAATATTATATAACAGGAGGTTGTAACCTTTGAATTCTTACATACAACAACACATGTTAAAGCAATTATAGTAGTAATTGTTTTAAAACCTGTTGCTATATGTCTATCAACTTTGTAATGTGTCAGTGGAGTTTGGTGAAATGTTCCATTTGTCACTGTACACCTCTGATTCACACTGATGGAAAGCCTGTGCAGGAGCCAGGGGCAGAGTGGAGGCGCAGTACCACTGGATTACCGTGTACTAGAGTTTCTGCAGTTTAAATCAGGGACAGCCGACCTGCTCCTGTCACTCACACACTCTGGGGGAAAGCCCGCTACAGGGACACTGACAAAACACTGCTCTGCTCCAGGTTGAGGCCAGAGGCAGGAACCTGGGTAAGATAGGACTATTAGCCAAATGTAACACAGCACTGGACATTATTGAACAACTGCAAGTTTATGGAGTGGCGCGGTGTCAAGGAAGCTATAATTAAACTATGATATAAAAGATTAAGCCTGTCTATAATGTGATGTCATGTTGTAAACACGGGGAAGAACAGCTGATTCAAACAGCTGGCCAAACCCACAGTGTCAGACCTATTGTACACACCCACTCTAATGCATACATCTCTACATATGGATAGATTTGCCATTTGTTTTTAAAGAACAATAATACCAGTCTTATGTAATACTTGTTTGGAGACTCAATGTCAAAGTGTTAACACATGATTAATTCACTCATACTTGATGATGGTAAACTGTACCACACGGCTGTCCTTGGGCAGGATAACAGAGAAGTGGCTGGCAACCGGAGCCAATGGCATCTCTAATTACCACCAACTATCATTCACTCATCACATTCGTACTCTGTTAAGATGGGTGAAGTATTTTGCCCAAAGACACCATGGCAGCATGTAAGCCTATTGCCTACTGAAATATGCTTAATAAACAAGTACAATGATTATTTGTGGCTATTGCAAATTTTATTAGTTGGCTGAGCAGTGAAACGTCTTCACTCTAAAAACGTCTTTTTTTTTGCTGTTTTTACTTAGTTATAGGCAGGTAGGCTATGATTAAACTATACTGCATGGAGCCACGCACCCCTGACACTCCAAAAGAAAAGAAGTAGCCTATTAGTAAAGACTACAAAGTGTGCAAGTGGTTAACAGGCGGGTGGTCCAGCCACAGGGCCGGAGGGCCATGTCCGTCTGTTCTCTCCGTGTCTCACCTCTGCACTGGGCTCCTATCTCTCTGCGGCAAATGACAAGTCTATTTTGGAAAAGAGGCTGCGCCAAAGTAGGCACGTCAGCTATTGGCATCAGGGGCCCCTGAGAAGAAAGAAAAAATAAGTCTGGTCAGCCGCCCACTGCAGGGCACTGGGGGATGTTCCACTTTCCTGGATTTACTACCATTTTACGGATATTTGAGCGGAAACAACACATTTTCGGTGGGATTCTAACATCTAGAAACGGATAAGAGGACACAGTGAAGCTAACTAAAGAATTGGCCCACGTGATTTACCTGCGTGGCTGAAGAAGACACAAGGTGAATCATTGTGAATCATTTATTGGATTCATGTTTCGTTCATAACACTTTACCTGTACTAATGTTAGTGCATTTTTTATGAAGTTGTTCCTATTTTCTTCAGGGTAAGCCAGGCCTGGTAACTCAGCTTTGGCACTTTTTACGCGCGCCTTTAGCGCAGATTCAATTATTAGCTTTGCTAACTCTTCTCAAGAGTGACCTGAAGCCAATTAAGCTACTTTCCAATGCATCCTACATTATTTTTTGAGGTTATCTACATTTACATTAAATTTATTGTAGTGTTTCTTTTACATTCACTATAGATATTGCGTGTTTTGAAAGCGTCTACTTTATCACACAGCTGATATCTGCTTCTACAAATGGCCATGGGCAGAGACGGGCCCTGACAGCTGAGGTTATTTTTGGGCCAGGCAGCTCCAGCGACAGAGGTGACAAAACTGACAAATGTCACTCTGTGAAAGGCACATATCCACACAGCGTGACCTTGTTATGCACAATAGAGTTAGAATGGTGTAATTAATGTTTCTAATCACCCATAATGACCAGTCTGCATTGTTTTAACGTTGAAGTGATCACATAAGCCTCCATTCCAGGCCCACACAGCAGCCCGGGGCCTGTAGAGCGCCTTTAGGCCTCTGACTGACACTGACATCCTGCTGTAAATGCCACACTGAGGATTTATGTCTATTTTCATAACATAATAAGGGTTCACAGTTCACCCACTGTCTTCCTCTGAGACACACGTCCGTCCGAGGGGCTGGAGCTGACCCACATTTGACTTCTTTTTAGCTTTAGCAAATAAAAATAAAATAATAAAAAAATAATGTTCAGTGACACAGGTTGTAGCTTCATCTAGAAATCAAGCCAAAAAGACAATCTTTCTGATGTATATTATCTTTCCTTAATGAGAGAAGCTGATGCTATAATTTACAAATAACAATGAAAGTCCTGCCTGAAGTGCTCTGAATGAAATGTCTTTGTGTTTTTTACATAAATTATGTTATAATGTTGTACATTAAGGAATTCTGTAATGTATAATTTAGTTGGGAAAGTTACTTTCTTTTGCAGCCAGTAATCTTAACTGTAAACTGTGTAGCTAACCAATTTCCCTGTGCTGCAGTGAGTATATTCACACTTTTAATGATGTGTTTTTTAAATTGCAGGAACAATACACAATGGATCCTAATTTGTTTGGTGGTGTCCCCCGGTTTCTGACCAGGCCCAAAGCTTTCTCCGTGTGCACTGGCAAAGATGCCACGCTCAGCTGCACTATCGTGGGCAGTCCCGCACCCCTCGTTACCTGGGAGAAGGACAAACTCCGGCTCAAGTCTGGAGGCCGCTTCAAAACTGTGGAGGATGGAGACGTGTACCGCCTGACCATCTACGAGCTCACCCTGGAGGACAGTGGCCAGTATATGTGCCGCGCCAAGAACACTGTGGGGGAAGCATACGCTGCTGTCACCCTTAAAGTGGCTCTACCTGCGGAGATGACACAGAGAGCTCCAGTGTTCTTGGAGAAGCCCACTTCTGCTCGAGTGGGTTTGGGGGGTGATGTGGTCTTCCACTGCAGAGTTGCTGCCCATCCAGACGCAAACTTCGACTGGGAAAAAGATGGCCGCTATCTTGGTGAAAGCAACCGTGTCAAGATCATTAGCGAGAGCGATGGAAGTACGCTAAAAATCCAAAGTGTACGTAACTTAGACAGTGGCACATACACCTGCAGAGCCCAGAACACAGTGGGGCGGGCCAACGCCTCTGCTGCTCTAGTTGTGGACTCCCAAGATCCTCGGCAGCTCACCCTGGACAAATCCTCCACCTCACTATTATCTCATCTTCAGAAACGCAAAGAAGAAATGAAGAAGGATATTGCAGTTTATCGCACTGAAGAGAAGACCTCCTCCTCCATCACTGACAGTCTGGAGCTGGAGCTGAGGGCGTCCATGTTGGCCAAGTTGCCCAAAGGCGTGTTCACGCGCACATGCACCGTCACAGAGGGCAAACACGCCAAACTGAGCTGCTTCGTCACCGGGCACCCCAAACCTCACATCATCTGGAGAAAGGATGGCTGTAACATCAGCGAAGGGCGCAGACATGTCATCTATGAAGATCAGGCGGAGAACTTCATCCTCAAGATCCTCTACTGTAAACAGACTGACAATGGCCTCTACACCTGCAACGCCATAAACATGGCCGGACAAACCTACAGCGCTGTGCTGGTCACTGTCAAAGGTAAGGATGAGAACACATCTGAAAAGAGTTTTGTTGTGTTTAGAAGTGTAACTAAACACGGCTGGGCCAGATGCAGGGAAACAATGATTTTTGGGGGAAATATTCCCCCAAAAGGAGGCTGGTGCTTCTGCTGCTGTGGTGGATTATTCTAACTCTTAGAGAGTGCTTTGACAGGTGTTAGTGTAAGGCTGCTGGATTATAGAAAAAAAAAAGCAAACAGATTAATTGAAATTATGATGTGTCTACACTGTATTCTACAAGTAAAAAGCTCCAACCTTATGGCAACATTTTCACTCACAGAAACATTTGTGTGTCCATAGAAGGCACTTCAAAGTTAATAAATGAGTAAATAAATGTGTTTTCTAGATAATGCTATTGTAAAAGCTGGATGTAACTTTTTTGGTTAATCAGTTAGTCCAGCCATAGGTGATAAGAGGTGAAGCTAGAAAATTGAGGCTGACAGCAGATTTACTGATTATTCAACATTTGCTTCTTAAAGTCCAGGTTTTTACTGTATATGTGCTGTCCGGTCCAGAAGCTTTTTCCAGCCTGCTTATATTGTATTAAAGCACGTCCACATTTAACTTGCCCAGTCTTAGAGCCTAAACCATTTTTAGCATGTCACTGATGACCCATATCTGCTCCCACCAGCCAGCTACATATAGATTTAATGACACTATTATTTCTATCCCTTATACCAACACGCTATTTAAAGTACATGGTTCTGGAGAGCTTCCTAAAGGGTCTAACTCAATATACAAAGGGTTTCTGTTGTAAGTAAATGCAATTATGAAGTAATACCAGTGTAATGCCTCATAATCAGTGGCTATGTCCATGCTGAAGCTTTTAAACCGTGTGTGTTTTTCTCACAGCAGCACTGGCTTGAGTCGCCTCTGTTCTGGGTGAAGTCGGGGGTGGGGGGTAGAGGGGTGCGGGGTTGGCGTTGCAGTTATTTTCTGCTGGCGATGAGTAGTTTGCACAGTCTAAGATGGCCACTCACTTACAGAGCACTTTGGCACTGACGCTAATGTGACTTCCCGTGGGCAATAACGTGGCTTTGAAGGTCCCGCGTTGCACAAAATAGACTCTTGTGAACTTTTAGCTGTGTTAGAATGTTGCTACCTCATCAAAAACATACCTGGAGTTGTGTTTTGTTTCATCCACGTATGTTTGAGTATTTCTTTATTATTAGTCTGTCTTAAAATGCTCTGATCCACCTTGTGATGTCACGAAGAGGTAGTTTTTAAGATAACGGTTAGCTTTTACCTTTTGTGTAGCAGAGATTGGCATTTCCGGAGCTGAAATTATCCAACCGATTCTAGTGATGGCATATGGAGTTTAAAAACACAGTGGAGCAGTTCCTGTTTTATCACATGACATCATAAGGTGGAACAGTGGAACATGAGTGAATGAAACAAAACACCACTCCAGGTATGTTTTTGATGAGGAAACCACATTATAACATAGATCAGATAGCATAATATGGGCCTTTTAATGATTACTTCCACTGCTGTTTGTTGTTTTGTCATTATCAGGTTTCAGTGAATTATTGGACGCTTTACATTTTTTATTATGAAAGTTAGATAGCAGTAGTCAGTAGCAATTTATAAGGCTTAATAGCGGATCCTCTCATTCAGACAATATTTGTTGGCTGTCGGAACAGACAGCAGTTCTTCTCTATGTAAATGCCATCATCAGTTAGCTGGTGCCACCTAGTGCCTCCACTCAATTCCATTTCTCTACAGCAACCAGGTCAGGAATCAAAATACAATAGACGGGTCACAAAAACCCCGGAGGTGCAAATTCGGGCACCAGCCAATCAGCGAAGGGCCATATATTCAGTGTTATCAATAAAGAGAATGTTAGGTGGATTTCATCAAGGGGAAAGACGTTATTGCCCTTCTTCCTACGGAATTTGGGAAAAGCCTAATATACCATTTAGCCTTATTATTACATACGTGACTACCAAATAGCAGCGATTGGTTAAATGATAAAAAGTACCTGCCTACCGTCAAGCAAACGAATTCTAATACTGCGTCAGATGGTTTCTACGAAGTGAAACCGGCTGATGAATCAGACTAATCATCAGTGTCTTATATCTTGAAAATGATCTTTTATTATAATGGAAACACTGCAACAAAAGCAAACTGACAAGACAAAGAAAAAATGTTTATTACTAAAAATTGTTTTTTAAATGTATTGTCTCCCAAATACCACTGTAAAATAGATTTCTGATGCACATGTAAGCATTGATATTAATGTTCATATCTTGATTTACGGACAAAATTGCTAAATAAAAACACCAGGAATAACTCTGACAGCAGTAGTTACGGAGACGGGGTGACAGTTTTTCAGTAGAAAGTAAATTGGAGCTGGAAGCACACGCTCTCGAGAAAGCAGCAGCTACTGGGTTAGCTATGTCTATTTAAATACAGTCTATGGCAAGCACATACCAAAAATTACATAAAAGTACGTATAAGGAGAAATCAATATACTGGATGGGTTGGGTGTTTTTATGATGTGATGATCTAATACAGTTAATGTAGTATTTAAGATAAAGAGAATCCTTTTGTTTATTTGTGAGTCTGAAGATTTGAGCTGTATTAAAGGGCCCATATTACACTGTCTTCTGATCTATGTTAAAATCTTGTTTCCTCATCACAAACACACCTGGAGTTGTGGTTTGTTTCATTCGCGTTATGGTTGAACAGAGAATTTTTAGCTTTGGATATGAAGACGGACTAATAGTAAAGGATTACTCAGACATGTGTGAATGAAACAAAACACAACTCCAGATATGTTTTTGATGAGGTAACCACATTGTAACACGTCTTAAAGTGCACAAGAGTTAATTTTGCTTAATATAGGACCTAATCTGAAATTGTATCAGATCAGAGTGGATGTACCAAAATAGTGAACACAACCTGACTCTGGAAATATAGAAGTGATAGGCTGATTAAAACTTCAGCACAACTAATTGATGAATGTTGATCCTGTTTCCAAAAAAATTATAATGAGAGGCTTTCCGCACTTACATACTACACTTCTCTGTAGTACTAGTGCTGGCAACCATCCAAAGCTGTAACACGAAGAGCACTTTGAAATACCATCCCCAGTGCTCACTTCATAGTACACACTACGAGCACAAATTAGAATTTACTTAGACATTATATTGTTTTCTCATTTGTAGAGTTGTCAAGATGAATCTGTTATTAAATAATTGTGTTTATTCAAGTGAAGTGAAGAACTAAAGATAATAATTTTGATTCATAGCAATCCTGGAAGCTCAAATATTCAAACAGTCCAAACAATTAAAAAGAAGCACTTTTTATTTAGCTGTATTTCCTATGTCATATTATGTATTATGCCACAGTATGTAACATTTTAACCAAAAAAGACTATAAAAAAGCATGTTCCATTTTGGCTGCACACAAAAAAAATAAATAAATAAATAAAAAATTAGTGGGCTTGCATCTCCACAAACTTGACTCTTAGTAGGCCTGGAAGAGGGCCTCCACCTGCTTTTTTCCAGGAAAATACTGTTGCTTTGGCTACAATATTCCACAGTAGGTCATAAAACTAACTCTATCTCCATGGAGAATGATCTGAAGTATTGTTTTAACTTCCACCTCCAAAAAGTTACATACTGTACTTTTAATCATTCAGAAGGTTTAGTATGTACTAGTGGAATGGTGATTTATCAGACAAGGGGAAAGAAACTAAATTAATTTTTAATTAATTTCATTCTTACTTGGTCATAGTGTCAGTAATCATGTCACTAAATTGTGGCATTTTTTTTCACAATAATCATCACTAAAGTTTGATATTGACTTTCCCACTCATATGTTTTCACTATACACAACCCCATTATGGCCAAAATCAAATGTTGTCATGCTGTGTTTTGCAGAGCCTAAGGTTCCATTCAAGAGGAAGCTGCAGGACGTGGAGGTGCAGGAGAAGTCTTCGGCTACCATGATGTGTGAGGTCCCTCTGAGCATCACTAACACCAACTGGTTCATGGAGGAGACCAAACTGGAGCAGAACACCAAGTACCGCATGGAGCAGGAGGGCACCCTGAGGCGCCTCACCATCCACAATGTGACCACCAACGATGATGGAGTTTATATCTGTGAGACCCAAGAGGGCAGCCGCACTGTAGCCGAGCTCACTGTGCTGGGTAAAGACCATATTATAATACATGGAACAATACAGGCAAAACTTTCTCTCAACATAAGCTTTCATCAAAAAACAACAACATTGTCCCATCTGATATGATACGGATCCCCTTGAAGTTGTTCCCACAGACACCAAAGACACCACTAGTCTAATATTTAACAAGATTTTAACTGACCATACTGAAGGATTACATGTTTGTATCTAATTCCAAGTCTGATTTACCAAAAATGTAGACACATTTTTAATATTTACAACAAATAACCAAAAATCCTTGTATCTAAAATGAAGAAAATTTTAAACTCATGCAATCAATTTTGGCCATTTTTACAAATAGAAATAAACAAAGTCATTACATGATGAAAAATGTACATTCATGTAAGCAAACTGCAGAAGACATTTAACTGCTATCTTTAAATTTAAGATTCACTTGCAGTGTCTCACTTTATATAACACAATGCAAACATGACAAAAGGCAGGAATGCTTAGAGCCTATGGGCAAACAACATGTTTCAAATTAACTAGCTATCAAAAATTTAGTTACTTAAAATGTGATGGTTTTTGTGCATTTTTCTTGTTTCTGTGACTGTGAGCAAAATATTTGTAAGTGCTTATTTTTTAGTAGTTGTAAATACTGTTTTCAAACGAGCAATTTATAAACACAATAATTTACAGTTTGTTCATGTTTTATGTAGGGCATTATATGGATGAAAATTCACCATAAAAAAACATCATGCAAGCTGCTGTTAGAACAACTTTGTAAATATATAATATATAATAAATCTTTCTCTTCCAGGAAACATCACTAAGAAGCTCCCCCGTAGAACAGTGGTGCCAGTCAGTGATACAGTGATCTTCTGTGTGGAGCTGGAGCAGCCCTGTCCTGACGTGTACTGGACTCGTAACGGAGAGAGGCTCAAAGAGGATGCTCGTATCTCCATTGCCTGTGTCCTGTGCCAGTACACCCTCACCATCAGGGACTGCCAGGCCCAGGACTCCGGGGAGGTGGCCTTTGTGGCTGGAGACTGCAAGACCTCCACACGATTCACTGTCACGGGTCAGTTTGTAATGTTATAAAGAGAATTGGTCAGCCTTAATAAAGCATAAAGACTTTATTTATAATGAACGAATAGTTTATTCATAGTTTATTAAGGCTTAGTAACTACTTAATTAAGGATTTTGGAGTTAGGGTAGATTGCACTATATTTTCTAATGAAAGAAGAGTTGATAAAGTACAAGACCTTTTAAGTTTTCTTAAGAGATTTTTAGACTGAAACAGACTTAATGTATTTGATGAACAATATTTTCTATTATTCATTGCCTTTTTTACATCAACCTGCCCTGGAACATTTGAAAACTTGAAGACTTGGCACAAATATTTTTTTTTCTTTTGAGCTGATATACATTTTGACATGACATCAGCATAGTTTAAGAATTTCCATTTGTTTGGTCATGTACATTTTTTCCTCTGTATTATATGTAAAGCTCCTTGTAAACAATATCTAAAAAAGCAAGAAGTAATGTTGTATTCTAAAGATAATTACACAATTTAGAATTATTTTTATATTTTTATTTCCTAGCTGCAAGAAAGCACCCCCCAGATCCCCCAGTGAACACTGTGGTGCTGAACAAGACTGAGGCGTCCATCACCTTCCAGTGGTCGCCCCCTGAGAGTGACCGGCCCGTGCCCATCAAAGGGTACATCGTGGAGAGGAGGAAGATCGGAGCCCAGCAGTGGCAGCGCTGTAACCCTGGAGAATTAGTCAGTATCACGGAGTTTACCATCTCCAACTTCACTGAGGAGGCCACCTACCAGTTCAGGATCTCTGCTGTCAATGACTTTGGCCAGAGTCCTTACATGGAGGTGCCTGGAAGCTTTTACCTGGGTAAGAAATCTTTGATAATTGTTGGGTAAAATGTTGCCATATTGCATCTATTCCTTAGCCGGCTTTCTCTATTTCTGTTTGTTAATTTCTATAAATTTTACTGAAATATTTGACTTGAACGTGAAGTATATTACCTGAAGGATCTGTACCAGATTTTTTCCCATATGTTACATCCATTGTATAAGCAGTTCTTGCAATGCACACCATTTAAAATGAATTTGTACTGTTTTTCACGGTTTCAGGATGTTAAAAATAATCAGGTACAGGGCCTTTAACATAAGAAAAAGAAAATCTGATATGAATAGAAAAGAAAAAGAATTCTGCTTTGTTATCTCTTTTTTTAAACTTTTGTGATAAATGTTTCGATTCACATTTGGTCAGTAGTGCAACTAAGCACAGTTTGCACATTATTGCTGATTATTGCTATGTTCTGATAATTAAAACTGTAATTTTCATCATCAGTTTTTCAAGCTAATACTGTATATAGCTTCACCTTATATATTTGTCTGTGTTTCAGAGCCTAGAGCAGATCTGAAGAAGGGTCTGTCAGACAGTGTGGCCGTTGCTGGGGAAGAGTTCTCCATCTCTGTGGAGCTGTCGGCCATGTGCTCTGGCTTCTGGTCTCTGGGAGGTCGTCTGTTACGAAGCGGAGGAGAATATCTCATAACAAGAACCAAGAATGTCCACACCCTCCTCATCCGCACCGTCACCATGGAGATGAACGGACTTGAGGTCAAGTTCGTGGGTGGCGGCTCTCAAACCACATGTATCTTAAATGTGAAGGGTATGTATATAGCCATGGCCCATTAACACCAGCACAGATATAACTACATCTTTAGTCATGCATTCTTAACAGTCCAATAGGTATACACATTATTGTTAGTGAAAGTGAGTTTAACAGCTTCTTTGACCTGTTTATTTTCAGCTCCTCCCGTCAGGTTCACCAACAGGTCCCAGCAGCAGACAGTCACATGCAGTGTCCAGGAAACGGCCGAGCTGACAGCTGAAGTGTCCGACTATGATGCTCAGGTATTTCACGTGTTTTCACTTTCACACCTGTTATAAAACATTTCATAATGAACCTTTACATGATCTAATTTGTGGTGAATGGGGCTGTAGTTGACTAAAGAAATTCTTGTCAGACTAAGGACATGCTACAGATTTATTCATTGACTAAAAGTGAGCGAGGCTAAAACTTAAATATCTCTATAATCGAACCAAGTACCTAACTAAAATTGCTCTCACAAGACAACAGCTGCACAGAAGTTCATACAAAACAAACAACTATTTATACAGAAAAGAACTAGGAAAGTGTGATGTATGGAAAAATGCAGACGGAACTCCTGATTCATTATCAAATATTCATCTAACTTACTACATAGCAGGCTGTTGCTGTTGCTGTTTCATATAAATCCTTATAATCTGGGTAAGGCAAGGCAAAGTTTATTTGTATTCCATTCTTACATGAAGTAATTCAAAGTGCTTTACAGAAAGTGCACAAGAAAGTAATTAAAATTACAATAAAGCAAATCAAAACATAAATAATCATCATATAATTAACATTAAAGAGAAGAGAGAATAAATAAAATAATTTATTACAATCCATCCATCCATCCATTTTCTTCCGCTTATCCAAGGTCGGGTCGCGGGGGCAACAGTCTGAGGAGGGCCTCCCAGACTTCCCTCTCCACACACACGTCCTCTAGCTCTTCCAGGGGGATCCCGAGACGTTCCCAGGCCAGCCGAGAGACATAGTCCCTCCAGCGTGGGGACTATGTCTCTCGGCTACAAATGAATACAAATTTTGGGTGACTAAGACACCATTGATTAATTGTCTAAAAGACTAAAGGCCTACGGTGCTAATGGACACCTTAATTATAAAATAACACTGATATAATACAGCTAATAAACTTATATTGATCAAAACTCAGATGTTTAGAACATTAAAGCAATGCAATGTGTTCTTTTCAAAATACTGAAATATGATAGCTTGTAATTTGTTATATATATATATATTTTTTTTTTATCTGTCTAGGTTGTCTGGATAAGGAATGGACGTGAGATTAAAATGGGAAAGAAGTATGAAAGTGTGAGCTTCGACCGCAAACGGATCCTAATTGTCAACAATGTCACAGAGGAGGATGTGGGAGTCTATGAGTGTGCTTTAGCAGAGGACAAAGTCTCACTGCAGCTCGCACTCAAAGGTACTGAGTCAAAAACCAGTTAGAGGTGCCTGTGGTCTTATTGATTTAAAAATGAACTACACTCACAGCTGAATCTGGGTTTCCAGTGCTTTAACCTGAATAGAGAGAATACATACAAGTTTTTTCTCATTCTCGGTATATTTATTTATGTTTATTAAGGACATCACAATCGCATTAGACAAGCCAGATGCATTGCTTTGAGTGTTTTAGCACAAGTGCTAGTTTTCAACACCTGTCCATATAAAAATATAAACTACATGCATAAAAACAGAGAGTACAAGACACATAAATTACATACAGATAAAATATATACAGATAAAATATATATAAATACATACATAAATAAATATATAAAATATGTACAGACTATGGTTCATATGAAAGCTCAGAACCTCCAGAATTCACTCACTGAGCTGCAGAGGCTGCACTAGCACTGATTCATGATTGGCTGCAGGTGCTGGGGTTTGTGAAGACTGGAGATAGTGATAGTGAAGATTCTGATCAGAGGCATTTTAGCTTTAAACCAGCTGGATTTCAGCTTGAAACTGGTAACCAAATAACATAAACAAGTTGACAGTTATGTCCAATGTTTTTTATAATGAAGAATAAATGATTACAATTGTTATCAGAAAAGCAATATTTGAATTGAACATACAGTATTTACTATAGGTATTTACAAAGATAGTTAATTTTTATAGTTCTATTACAGGCATCTATAATAACACATCAGTTTGAATTTCTCATCGTAAACATTTTCTTGACTGTTGAAGATGAACCTGCCAAGTTCCTGAACAAGGCGAGGGGTCCGATGGGCATGGCCTCGTCTCTCAAAGGAGACCTGGAGCTGAAATGCGAGGTTTCTCCGGCCAGCACGGTGGTGGTGTGGAAGAAAGACCAAGTGGAGATCACTGAGGACCAAAGAACCACCTTTGTCTCCAACGGCACCCAAAGGAAACTGGTAATCAAGGGTGCCAAGAAGAGCGACGAAGGGCATTACTCGTGTGAGACAGCCACCGACAAAGTCACATTCCAGGTCAAAATCAAAGGTACAAAAATATAAAGTTGTGTTCAATAATGAGGAATAGAACATTGCAATATTAATGAATTAATGAGGTGACGTTACACTTCTTGTTAACGTGTTAACATTAACATATTTAGATCGTCATGCTATATTTGCAGAAAGCAGTGTATTAACGTTTTTATTTGTTTCAGTTTTGTTTTTGGGGTTCTGAGTCCCCTTGCTCCCCATGCTAAGTCATTCCCTCTTCAGAGCGCTATCACATTACAGTCAGCTTAGTATATTTATGAAAAATGGTGGTGTGAGAGAATAGATTATGTAGGCTTTTGGGCTGAGCATTGAACAGAACTATTGCTAACCACAAAGAGGATACAAATAGGGCCTGGAAGAGATCGCAAGATAACTCAAACGTGCATGGAGAACATATGAAAATAAAACCACTTCAGACATGTTTTTGATAATGTTTTAATATGGTAGAAAGCTCCAAAAAGTCAATTATGCCTAATACCCCCTCTTTAAACATATTTTTTGTCTAGAAACTCAACCTGCCTTCTCTAGCAAAGAATCCAAGCAGAGAGAGGTGAAAGCAGTCCTCTCCCAGAAGGCCACTCTCAGCTGTGATGTGTCTGACAGTAAGACGGAGGTGAAATGGTATAAAGATGGTAAACAGATCATCTCCAGCCGCTCAGTCTACACTGAAGTCAAAGGCTCCACCCGAGTGCTGGTGATCGAGAAGGTGGAGAGGAGCGATGCTGGAGAGTACACATGCGAAGCTGCAGGAGAGAAGTTAGTGTTCAAGATCTCAGTCACAGGTAAACTAAAATAATGACTTTGGTTGTTTTTTGTGAATATACTCAGTCATTACTAGTGGCTTCTAAAAATGTACCTTTTCTTGTTGACTTTTAACACTCTGTAAGAGTTTTAAGTTAAATATATATTAAAAAAATATGCATTTTTTCCTAGCAATGTTTTTTTTATTTTTACACAATCATTTACAAATTATACTATTTTCAGGAAAATACATTTTATCTATCAATTTTAAAATACTGATATAAATATTGGTTTAATTGGTCAAAACTGCTTGACAAACACAATAGAAAATGGTATTTATATCAGACAATCTCTATTTTTTACTCTAACCCAAAAGCTTGAAAATTGCTTTTGAACTATATGAAGCTGGATCTTTAAGGTTGATTTATAATACACTGTGTTTAAGAATAATAATTTTTTTGGTTGGACGATGCAAATGTAAATTACAATCTTTTTGAATAGCTTCTTTGCTGAAATGTGTCAAGGGAGGGTGGCTTTCACCTTATGTTTATGAGTGATTACACCTGTCTGTAAATTTTGTGTTTTGTCTTTCAGAACAACAGCCATCTTTCTCAAACAAAGAGTCTGTCCAGAGGGAGGTGAAGGCTACTCTCACCCAGAAGGCTGTTCTGAGCTGTGAGGTGTCTGAGGCTAACACTGAGGTCAGATGGTACAAAGATGGTAAACTGGTCAGCTCCACCAAGACTGTCCATACAGAGGCCAAGGGCAAGAGCCGGCAGCTTGTGATCGACAGTGTGGAGAAGAGCCACGCCGGAGAATACATTTGTGAGGCTGGGACTGAGAAGCTGGTCTTCAAAATACATGTGGCAGGTAAGATGGAGTTATATTATTCAGATGTGTAGTCATGTTATGTGTCAGTTGTCTATTTAGTTTAATGTTAAATGTATTATAGTATCAAGTATTGTGTCTGTTGTCTAATGTTTAAAGAATGTTTAAAGAGGAGTGCTTGAGTCTGCTGTATAGTTATAATTTATGGCACTTGTGGATCATTATGGTATAATTTGGACATTTTAAATTACAATATTAATCTTAAACGATTTAATAACAGAAACAAGACTGCTGACAACCATGTTAGAAAACTGCCCAGTGGCAACTGTTGTCGCCGTTAATGTCATCACAACAAAGAATTTGTGAAATTAAAGGTGAAACGGAGGTTGAAGGGAACAATGAAGTCCTGAATACCGGAGAATAAAGATTACATAAACATGCATGAATCACTCTGAATACATCTTTGAGAGGGTCAACGAGGGACAAACCACTATAACATGGTTAAAAGCTCTAAAAAGTTGATTTTTACTGTTCTAACTGCAATACTGTGGTACCATGACATGGATATCACACAATTTTAAACAGAACCCTTATAAGGTTATATTGCTGTAATCTTCATTATGTTGGTACCCTTTGCTCAAAATCATATTAATATGTAACACTGTATATGACCACTGCACCACTTTTTATCCACTCACAAAAATCTGTAAGTTTTGGTGTTTTGGGAGGCCCTGGGGCCAAACACTAATAAAAAAGGGAGCAAAATAATAGCAGAGGAGGGATCTGTCTATTTCAGATTTTTGTCCAGTTTTTGTTGTAATGTTTATTTTTATCCTCCACAGATGCCAAAGTCCAGTCAGCCTTCTCCAACAAAGAATCCATCCAGAAAGAAGTGAAAGCAGTTTTATCCCAGACTGCTACTGTGAGCTGCGAAGTGGCTGACTCCAAAACTGAAGTAAAGTGGTACAAAGATGGAAAACTCTTGAGCTCCTCCAAAACAGTGCACACAGAATCCAAGGGAAAGACTCGACAGCTGGTTATTGACAAAGTAGAGAAGAAGGATGCAGGAGAGTATATCTGTGAAGCTGGGACTGAGAAGTTGGCCTTCAAGATTCATGTTGAGGGTAAGAGATAATATGTAACTAGTGATTTGCATTTTGTGTTGTAATATAGAGCAGTGATCCCCCAACCCGAAGGTCAGAGGATCAATTCCTGCTTGACCAAATTCTGTTACCCACATTGCCTAGTATGAAAGTGATGAGTACGTGGTGGTGGTGGGGCCGATGGCGCAGATCAGCCTCACTTACCCAGGACAGCACTTTGCGCTTTGAAGGGCTTTGACAAGCCTGTAAAGTGCATTACAAGTGCAATTATTTATTATTATAAAACTAATACCAAAACAAGATACTAATTTAAGCAGGTATTAACAGAATTCCAGCTTTTCTGAATAGTTTTATTTTTAGCTTTAGTTTTAGATTTAGATTTATTTTTGCTTAAACCTAGCATGTGTAAGACATAATGGCAACATAAATGTGTAAGTGTATTATTGCGTTGAAAATTACATTCTGTTACAATTCATGTGGTATCATAATCGGTAATCAGTGAATAACGTAACTACCTAAAATTTAGTTAGAAATTTTATTATCTTGACAGCTCTAACAGAAACAGAAAATTTGTGTAATTCAGCTTTACGGCAATTGGACTGAAATTCTGCTTGTATTTGTCTTCCCAGAGGCTAAATCTTCCTTCCTGCACAAAGAGTCCATCCAGAGGGAAGTGAAAACAAGTATCTCCCAGAAGGCCATACTGAGCTGTGAGGTGGCTGACAGCAAGACAGAGGTGAAGTGGTACAAAGATGGAAAACTCCTGAGCTCCAGTCGCACAATCCACATAGAGTCTAAAGACAAGACCAGAAGACTCGTGATTGACAGTGTGGAGAAGAAAGATGCTGGGGAATACATCTGTGAAGTCGGCAATGAGAAGATATCGTTCAAAATACAGATTACAGAGCTGGAGCAAAAGTCTGTACAGAAAACAGAACAGAAATTGGAACAAAAGTCAGTGCAGAAATCAGAGCTAAAATCAGAACAGAAATCAGAGCAAATAACTGTGCAAAAATCAGAACAAAAAATTGAACAAAAAACTGTGCAGAAAGTAGAACAAAAAATTGAACAAAAAACAGAGCAGAAATCTGTACAAAAATCAGTATTCTCCAACAAGGAATCAGTCCAGAAGGAGGTTAAAGCCACCCTCTCACAGAAAACTACTCTGAGCTGTGAAATGGCAGACAGCAAGATGGAGGTGAAATGGTACAAAGACGGAAAACTCATCTCCTCCAGCAAATCTGTTCATTATGAGTCCAGAGGCACGAGTCGCCAACTTATCATTGAGAATGTGGAAAAGAAGGATGCTGGCGAGTACACGTGTGAGGCTGGAACTGAGAAACTGTCATTCAAGATTCAAGTAACAGGTATGATAAAAGTGATTAAAGAGCCATATTACGCAAAAATTGTTATCAAAAACATAGTGGAATTAGGGTTGGGAATTAATATCACAATTATCTTGGAGTCAGACCACAATTTAGATTTTATCACGATTCATGTAAACTTTATAGTATTTATAACAGTCATCTGTTTCATACTTCAATGCAGTTGGTTAAATCCACCTGCCACTTATTCAGAGTTTTGTTGAAACTGATCAGTGGGAGTTGTGGGTTGAAAAAAGTGTCTAGTTTAAGGATAAATTTGAGAGAAAATTGGTCAATCATGATATCACAGTTTTACCTAAATACCATATCATCACAGGAATGAGATTGGATTTTTGTCACTATATTGTCCAGTCCTGTCTGGAGTTGTATCTGTGTTGTTCACTCTTGTTTCATGAATCTATTAAACAAAAGTCATCTTCTCTAAGCACTCAAAAATGCTCTGTTCGCATTTTGCCTGTTTAGTTGCACCATAGATAAAACTTCAGACTTCCCCTATGCTGGCTTTTGCTGGCTCTGTTAATACAGGGAATTAGGAATTCATTTACTTTGTAATCGTTCATTCTTGTTGCTGACAGCAGAGAGGGCTTCAAGGAAAACAGAGCTGCATTTTTCAAATGCAAACATTATTTAAAGTTAGAAAATATAAAATGCTTAACCCAAATGGGTGACCAAATGTGTGCTTAAAAGGAAATTAAAGCCACAAGAATGCATAATAGTTCTTTAAAAATGTGTTTCAGTTTTGTCTATTAGCTGTTTTTTGATCGTCTGTTATGTTTTATTTTTCATAGAAGCTCCAGCTGGTTTCACGAATAAAGAATCGGTGCAGAAGGAGGTGAAAGCATCTCTGTCTCAAAAGGCCACTCTGAGCTGTGAAGTGTCTGATTCTAAAACTGAGGTGAAATGGTACAAGGACGGCAAACTACTCACCTCCAGCAAAGCGGTTCACATGGAAACAAAAGGCAAGAGCCGTGAGCTGGTCATCGAGAAAATGGACAAGAAAGATGCCGGAGAGTACACTTGTGAGGCTGGGGCAGAGAAACTTACATTTAAACTACAGGTGCAAGGTAAAAGCACATGTTATATTCACAACATAATTATGGACTTTATTATTTTGAGTTTTGTGCATTTCTAATCAACAGAGTATATTATTAAATACAGACAATGGGCCCATAGTTACAATGTACTCTATGGGAAGAAAAACAACTAATTTCTAATGGTAATTATATTAATGTTGGGTACATGGATAAATGGATACACTAGCATAGTCTGTTGCTGCTTTTTGATACATTTGATACATATTCATGTATGGATATGGATATGAACACTGCTACTTTGCCTATTATACCATTGCCTATTATACAGTCTAATACACTGATCAGTATTTTCCATGTTCATCTGAAAGCTAATAGGTCTAACATGCCCTCCTAGATTACAAACCGTATTACAATAACATATAAACCTGGGAGGCCAATAGCTGATATCCTATATTAAAAATATAATCATATTACAGAGAATATGATGAGTTTTGTTATCGTTTTGGGTTCATGTCAAACTGGTTTATGTTGGACATCACAACCCAAAATTAGGAGCTTGCTTGTTCAGAATGGATTGGATATATGATATATATCTTTTACATCGACCCCACTTATTTTTTAGTTATTTTTATCAGGTACAGTAATAGAAATGAAAAAAATATTTAGGTCAGCTGGATTTTAGCTTCGATGATCATTCAATCACATTCAGCCACATCAAGAAAAATGCAAATTGTGAATAAAGTACAATTCCAACTGTAAAACCAACATTTGATTTTAACTTATGTGAGCACTTATTTGACGATGATAATGCAAATGGAATATTAAAGATTTATTTATTTAATTTTTACAGAAGCAGCTGTAAAGTTTCAGAAAAAAACAGTCAAGGATACCTCCGTTCCAACCAAGGAGGATATCGTACTGACTGCAGAGCTCACCGCAGAGGGCGGTGCAGTCAGATGGTTCAGAGACGGAGTGGAGCTGAAAGAGAGCTCTCGGATTCAGATGAAAAAAGAAGGTCTTTCACGAACTCTCATCGTCAAATCCGGCGAAGCCAAGGACAGTGGCACTTACACCTGCCAAACCACTGATGACAAACTGGAGTTTAAAGTGGAAGTTAAAGGTTGGTCATGAACACTATTTTCATTTTTATAGAGTTAGGATAAGTTTTTTTTTTCCAATTTTGAAATTATGCAACGCAAACAGAAATAGACAAAAGCAACAAAAAACCCAGGCTATGGCACTGCTCCGTTCTATGTGTGCCCATGCATCATTCCCAAATTGTCCTCAGTGCATGAAAAAGGTTACATGCACCTATAAGTAGAAAAAATTGTTACTACTATTATAGATAACACCAAGCCACAAATATCACTTGATAGGAATTTAAGGCATGAAAGTAATGTGTGGAATTACTCCCTAACACAAATGGTTAGACTCCACTTTTCTGATAGTTCTTTCAACACAGGAATCACATATTGTATAGTTATACAGGCTCTGTTCTCCATATAAAATTGTGAAAATTATGCAGGTTGATTGTTTTAATATTGCCTCTTCCAGAGCCTAAACAAGTGAGGATTAGCACCAAGCTGAACAACGTGGCAGCGATGGAAGGAAAAGATGCCATCTTTAAGTGCGCTGTCAGCCCAGCAGATGCTAATGTGAAATGGTTCCACAACAGTGTCCCTGTGACTGTTGGACCAAAGTATAAAACTGAGCACGGAGGTACCAGCTTCTCTCTCACCATCACGTCTGTCACCCAGAAAGATGCAGGAGAGATCAGCATTGACGCAGAGGGGAAAACATGCAAGGCTACTCTACAAGTCCAACGTATGTTTCATAGATTTTTTTGTGATAATTATATGAAAAACTAAATGCTACATGTCAAGAACCACTTGAAGCTACAGATGCTGATATTTTCTTTATCTTTTATCTTTGCATGAAGCTTATGTATATGTATAGTATAATGAGTAAATTAACAGTGTTCATATCCATACCTAAAATCAGTCAACAGATCATCAATTAATCTTTTATTAATATTTTACTTAAAAGTGGAGTACTGTATACCAATATTCTTGTAAAGGAGTATGTTTTACATCCAGCAAAATTAATTTAATTTAATTTCTTTAATTGCACACTTTATTTAGTATCTGCTCTGTGAGACCGTTAAAATTGTTTCTCTCTTTTTCCAATTTACTTTTCAGATGAACCTGTGACATTTAAAAAGAAGCTGGAGAACCTTACCGTGGAGGAGCAGAGTGACGCCAAGATGGAAGTGGAGCTGAGCAAAGCCTCAGACGATGTGCGGTGGATGAAGAACAGTGTGGTGGTCCAGCCATCTGCAAACGTCCAGATACAAGTGAATGGAGCCAAACAGACCCTTGTCATCAAGAATGTCACCACTGCTGACCGGGGCATATACTCCTGTGAAACACTGGATGACAAGACCCAGGCTAAACTCACCGTGGAGAGTAAGATCACACTTTTGACCCAAAAAATGAATATTGTTATCAGAGATGTCATAATACCAAATGTTAGTTTTAAAGTTATAGTCAGAAGAAAGATCACAATATAACCCTTTTAAAAAAAATTAAACCTCTCCTTGTATATGGCCAGTTTTCTAAACTCACAGTAATAGTAATGTTTATTTTAATATTAATCTTTATTCAGAGGTATGTCATAGCAGCACAAACAAAAAGTGGTACATAGATGAATACACTCATACATACAATTTGAGTCCAAGATTGACTTGATACAAATGAAAGACTGATGTTCGCAATGGTGTGAGAAAAAGTATGTTTTTTGGTGCCAGTTACACCTGCAGATGCAGCAGAGTCTGGAGAGTTGAATGGGAAACCTAAATTGTAGATTATTGTAGAACCCAGTAATATATAAATTAGTGTTAGAAAATTAACTTATATTTTTTTATTTATTCAGTGAAGAAAATCCAGTTGGTGAAGGGCCTGAAAGAAACTAAAGCATTAGAAACAGAGACAGCGACTCTGGAGGTGGAGCTGAGCCAGGCTGATTTGGAGGGCTCCTGGACCAAAGACGGACTGAAACTCAGATCTGGGCCCAGCTGCAGCATCACGGTCCTGGGGAAGAAACATGTGCTCACTCTGTCCAACCTCAAAAAGGAGGACAATGGGATGATCTCTTTCCAAGCAGAGGGCGTCCACACATCTGCTAAACTCATTGTAACAGGTACGAGCAATCATTTCATCAACATATCAAAAGATCAAGATAATTTGTCAGTACATTATTGTTGAATATATTTTATCTTTTGGGTGGCGTAAAACAATTACAGTTGTAGAAAACTGATTCAAAATACACTTACTTTTGACAAGAAATTTAGATTTAGATTTACTTTTATTGTCTTTTATCTAAAATAATTTTAGTTTTAGTCTGGTTTTAATCTGTGGAAATGTCAAAATATGCTGAATTCATAATACCAGCAAATACATTTTTATGATAAATTTGATTATATTGCTTCTTGGGACATATTTGGTTTGGGACTCTTGGAATGAAAAGTGGAACATTTAGTTGACGAAAAAAAAAATCTACTTTTAGTCATAGTTTTAGTCGACAAAAATGTGTGCAAGTTTAGTTATAGTTTTATCAGGATAAGTTTCTGTTTGGTGTTATTCATTATTTGGTTTTACTTATGAAATTGACAAAAATGCAAAATGACCACTGGTTAGCAATGGCTGCCAGAGTTAAATTTGTATTGATTTTACAGAACCACCAGTTATGATTTGCAAGCCCATCATGGATATTAGCACGGCTGAAAAGGAGAAGGTTACTTTTGAATGTGAAGTGTCCAGAACAACCTCAGATATTAAGTGGTTTAAGGTAAGCCGCACTGGAAGACAAAATGTAGCTTTTTCTTTTGAAGAAAAACTAAAATTCCTGGTAACAATTTCATGGAATCTTCAGGATGACAAGGAACTGAAATCCGGAAAGGACATCTCCATCCATTCTCTGGGCAAAAAGCACTCTTTGGTTATCAATAAATGCACTTTTGAACAGGCTGGGACTTACATCTGCTGTACTCCTGATGACAATACTTCTGCCAAGCTCCAAGTGCATGGTAAGATATTGTCAACTTTAACAGTGTGGTAATGTTGGCCAAAACAATCAATCAGCTTTTATTTATAGAGCCTTTTAGAACACTCATGGTTACCAAAGTGCTTTCTGATAAAATATACAGTATAAAAACATGCAAAACATTAAGCAGTGAAATAAAACAAATTATGCAAAGTGTCACTGTATTACTGAGTGTTGAAAGACAGTATAGATAGAATAGCCTGGATTTAAACAGGCTATAAGTCAGGGGGCAGTTTGTTCTAAAGTCTATGGTCAGTGACAGAGAAAGCCTGATCACCCCAGTGTTTGAGCCTGAATCTGGTGACTTTGTGGAAAGGCCCTGTTTCTCATTATTTATCAGTCATTATTTTCCTTTTTACATATACATATACATACCCTATTGACACCAGTCTCTTGCTATGTTTGCTACTTTTTTGAATGTATTATTATCATTTATACTTTTACTCTTGTCATTACATTATACTATGATGTGTTAACTACTGAGTCCAAATAATTTCCCTTGTGGATCAATAAAGTTTGTCTAAGTTTGGAACAGATAGGAGTTCAAGCCAATGAACCAAAAAATTACCCAAACGTTTTATTCTTTACTACAGCCAGAGAGATAAAGATTGTGAAGAAGCTTGTGGATGTGGAGGTGATGGAAAAGGAGAGCGCTACTTTTGTCTGTGAAGTCTCCCATGATGAAGTGGACTGTCAGTGGTACAAGGGAAGCAACAAAATCAAAGCCAGTGATAACATCAGAATGAGACAAGAGGGTAAGACCAACACATGCACACAGTAATCAAATGTCAATCAGCTTTTTTCTGGTTCTCCTTTTCTCCATGAAGATAATATTGCTTTGCCAGGAATGTTCCACAGTATGACATTAAACCACCAGACACCAGCAGACCAGGTTACAGCAGTTATATGTTCCAAGTATTGTGCAATATAAAAATTTGCCGTGTAATTGAATACTGTATATGCAAAATAAATAACAGTAATGTCATACTGTGGAACATTCTAGGCAAAGCAATAACATCTCCATGGAAACAAGCAGGATTACCCTACAAGAACGGTTATGTAGTGCATCTTTAAATAACTGATGTGGTTCAAATATGAATCTTTTTAAATAGGCAGGACATATACGCTGGTGTTCAAGTCTGTTTCCATTGAAGATATGGGTGAGATCAAATTCACAGCAGAGAAAGCCTCTTCTGTTGCAAAACTGAAAGTGAAAGGTAAACCAGTGTGCTGTAGTGTTAGCAGTGTGTGTTGGGCATGTTTCCTGGAGTTTGTGAAAGTACATAGATGTGGCTGCAAATAGATTCTATTAATCACACAGACCATTGCTGGGTGGTTGTAATATGTAAAAATCAAAACATTTTCTTCCTCCTATCAGTTAATCACCTTTTTTGTTTTGATTAAGTTTTTCCTTTTAAAAACAAATAAATATGGCCTTTGATATTATTTGTCAAGAACACAAACCAGATGGAAAAGCCATATGACAACAAGCTGACTCGATTTGAAACATCATCACAAACATCCATGTAGTTGAATTTTGTTTCATTCACACATATTTTAACACACAATCCCTGCATATTTAGTTCTTCTCTCAAACAGAAAACGTTGCAATGTCATGTTGTAATACAGGAACTCCTCCACTGTATTTTTAAAGTTCATACACCTTCACTAGAATCACCTGGATCATTTCAACCATGGAAATGTCAATCTTTGCTGAACAAAAGGTAAAAGGATAGCCGTTAACTCGAAAACTGCCGCTTTACAAGGTGGGACAGAGCATTTTGAACTTTGGAGATGTAGACAGACTAATAATGCAGACATGTGTGAATGAAACAAAAGACAACTCTAGATATGTTTTTGACAACAGCAACTTGGCTAAAAGTTCACAGGAGTCAGTTTTGCGTAATATAGGATTTATAGGGTAGGATTTTTTGAATTGCACAATCTTATGACAATAATTATACCAGGAAGATGAGTTCAAACTTTTCATATATGCAATGCAACCATCTGACAATGATTTGGTTCATGATTTATACAATCCACATGACGTTTGCATCTACATTGTTGTGCCTCATTGAGACCTGATGGCAAAACCAAACACGCAATATTGTGAAAAAAAAACAACAACAATATGATATCAGATAATAGCCCTTGTATGGGAAGGGAATTTTTGATGCACAGCAATTTCATACAAATGGATATTAAGGACTGTTTCTGCTTTTACAAAACATATATTATTTTAATATTTTTTCAGAGAGATCTATATTTTTAATATTAAATAAATAATTGTGTTGATGAATTGTTATTATAGAACTGCCAGTCAAGTTTGTGAAGAAACTCAGGGATAAGATAGCCATGTATAAGCACCGTGGCCATCTTGAATGCCAAGTGTCCCGTGCTAGTGCTAAAGTCAAATGGTTCAAGAACAAGATGGAGCTCAAACAAGGCAAAAAATACGACATCAAGAGTGAAGATGTATACCGCCAACTCACCATCAATGATGTTGACTCTGGAGACGAAGATACATACATTTGTGATGCCATCGATGACAAGACTTCATGTAAACTGCTGGTGGAAGGTAACAGGTCATGACTGTAGCATAGTATAGGGTTGGAATTTAGGAGGAATGCAAAAACACTACTGCCATCAGATTACTTATGCAATGAGGTCTTTGTTGTTGTTATGTGCTGTCTTAATGTATTAGGTGTAGATTTGCAGTATACATATGTTTGCATTGAACTGGATAGGCACAGCAAGAAGAAATTGTGCAGTGTTACTAGTGTTGAAACAAAACGATACTCAGATACTAATCAGTATTAAAAAATAGTACTGGAACTTGATACTCACATAAAAAACTATTCATACTGACAAAAAAAAAAGAAATAATTATAGGACAAAATGTAACAAAATGTAATAGTTTTCTGAGTTTTAGAATGGAAAAAGTTTTATTGCTATTTTTAATGAACAAAATTCACAAACTAAAAACTTGCTTTGTATTTTGGTCCAACATAAAACAAAAAAATATAATATAAACTATAGAATAAAAATGAGGGCATGCATTAAAATAAGTAAAATAAAATTTGACTACATCAGAACTAGTGTAGAAGCATTCATGGTAATATTAGAAAAACAACAATTGCTTTTGAAATTACTTTCTATTTGTGGTATAGAAACCAGTAACATATTGAGCCTCTTTCTTAGTTTTGATTTTCTATTGTGAAAATACTTGCACCAACATTCTGCATCTACTAAGCTTTTATAATGAAGTTTCTTGGACAAAAAACAAATACATTTGCATGGACAACTACTGTAACAGTAAAAGATAAAACTTAACTTATCTTTTCCTAGCCTATAACATATATATAGCCTATAACACACACACACACCCGCACACACACACACACACACACACACACACACACACACACATATATATATATATATATATATATATATATATATATATATATATATATATATATATATATATATATATATATATTTTATGTATTTTATACTCATTGCAATTTTTATCACCATTTCTCTTGGTTTTATTAAAAGTGTTCCTTCCCTCACAGAGCAGTCCATCAGCATTGTGCGGGAGCTTAGTCCTGTAGAGGTGACGGAGCCATTTGCCGCCGTATTTGAAGTGGAGATCAGTATGGAGCTGGTGAAGCCTCCAGTGTGGACTCTGAGTGGGGTGGCTGTGAAGGAGAGCGCTGATGTGGAGCTGGAGAAAGAGGGAACACTCCATCGACTCACCTTTAAAAAGACCAAAGCTGCGATGACTGGACCTGTCGTGTTCACAGCAGGAAAGAGCAAGTCTCAGGCACAGCTCACTGTCAAAGGTATCCCATCATTTAGGCAGAGATTACATGACATCACAACATATCCACATGTTTCAGTATAATAAAATTGTTGCCTTGTTCCTCAAAATGGTTGCAATAATAGGCAGCTGGAAACTAAATCTGCAATGAAATTCAATGTCTAACTGCTGTTTAACTATCTCTTAAGTATTTTTATGTTGTATTACAGGCATGTCAATTTAAAGGACTTAAATGTATGAATTAATTGATGAGGAAATTTTGTATTTGTAAATTTTGACCTAACTAACAAAAAAGGTTAAATATAGATTTTCTCTCAATTGGTCCATACCTTCCATCTGAAACTATAACATACAATTTTACGATGTTGTGAATGCAGTCTGTTGTAAAAGACAAAAAGTACACTGATATCAAGTAATTTTAATTGCCTTTTCAATTCTTGTGTCATTTAGAGCGCCCGCTGGAAGTCGCAGAGCCAATCAAGAATGTGAAGGCCAAAGAGAAGAGCTCAGCGATCCTGAGCTGCAAGTTCTCTGCTCCTCCTAAAGATGTTCACTGGTTTAAGGGCGCGGCTCCTCTGGCCACATCAGACAAGTACAACATAAAGCAGGACGGTACCAGGGCCCAGCTCACCATTCAGAGACTCTCAGAGGAGGACACGGGGGAGTACTGCTGTCAGTCTGGACCTGCAGAGACCAAAGGGATCCTCACTGTAGAAAGTATGTATAGATTAGATGGGTTCTTTCAATAGTTATTGCAAATAATATTTAATTATTGAAGGTGTCAGAATTTAATGTATTAAAGCTACCATCTTTTTTTTTTTTTGTTCTTGCCGTTGTTATAACTCATGTTATCATTGTCCAAGAATTCTGCTCTTATGGGGTCTGTGTATAGAGATTTTTTACTAGTACTACTACTAGTACTTTGTGCTCTCTGGTTTTCTTCTGTCAGGCTAAAGCTGTCACACTATCAGACAGCAGTTGCATAGATAGCAACTAGTGGTAATATGTGAGAATACAACAGACAGCCAATCTAAGATGGTAGCACAAATGTTTTTCTACTCTTGAATATTCCTTTCTACTTCTTGAGTAATATTATTTTGAAGTATCAGTATTTTTACTTGGGTACTATTTTTAGCTCTACCCATCACTGTAACATTGTGTATTATCTTCACAGTGCGTGATATCCAGATCACCAAACATCTGGCTGACACTGAGGTAGATGAAGATGGTGATGCTGTGTTCACATGTGAGATAAACTTCCCCGATGAGGAAGTACAGTGGCTGCTGAACGACAAAGTGCTCTTCACCAACGAAGTCAACACCATCAGCCACGAGGGCAAAGTCCACAAGCTCACACTAAAGAACCTCGCCCCTCAGGATGGCGGCACAATCAGCGTTCAAGTGCGCAAAGTCAAAGAGTCTGTTACACTAAAGGTGAAAGGTAAGGAAAGAATACATGCTGTCACCTGCTTGTCCCCCTGGAGATTCCGAATAAGAATTACTTTTTTTCATCCCCAAGAGGAAATACTTTTCATAACAGACATGTGATCGACCAGCAGAAGAATAGGAGTTATCAAAAGTACAGTTAAGAACTTGAAGACAAAAAGTAAAATAAGTCTTTATGTACAAAACCCCAGTGACCATTTTAACTTAAATTATTTGTTACTGTGACATGGGTTGCTTCTCCACAGATTTGAGGTCTCATTTATAAAACTAGAAGTCTTACTAAAAGCGTATGTATGGACAAAACTCAGACTTTCTCAAACTTGCCCACTGCTCTTCTTCTTGACACCCACTTTAGAACTTAGCATTGAAATTCATACACATACATATTTGAATGATCTCATACTTTTTAAATGAGACCCCTTACCAGTAACTTGGCCTGGTCATGGCTTGTTTACATTGAGATTTTAATGCCATGCTCTTCCAGGCAAAGTAATATAATCTCCTCCTGATCACTTACATACCCACTGACCTCATCCATCCCCACTGCCCCTGACTCAAACCTCCTCACTCCCACAGTTAAATCAAAGTACCGCACCTTGGGGGTCCGAGCAGTTGCTGCCTCAACCCTTCGGAATTCCCTCCCCCTCCACATCAGAAATGATTTCTATGGAGTCAAGCAGTTGGCACACCTCTACCTGAAAAGTTACAGTGCCCCTTTAAAACATAAACTGATATAAATTGTGCTTTTTGCCACAGAAAAGCGCGCTGTGTTCCTCAAGTCTCTAGATGATGTCGTGGGAGAGGAAAAAGGCATGATCACATTAGCCTGTGAAGCCTCCAAGCCCAGAGTCTCTCCCACCTGGAGAAAGGATGGGAAGGTCCTGAAGGCTGGACCCAAGTATGAGCTCCTTCACACAGGCAAGTCTCTGGGGCTGATCATCAAAGACGTGACCAAGGAGGACGCTGGAGAATACATCTGCGACCTGGGGACAGAGGCCTCCAAAGCAATGGTTACTGTCAGAGGTGAGGACAGTGAAATACATCTCAGGTCATTGTCAAGAGTGAATTTTGATATGAGTTATTATTTTTATTTGTTGTTACAAGTTAATTTTTTGATTCTTAATGTATGTGAATGACATGTGCTTACTTTTGGTATTGACTGATTTGTACACAATGTTGTGGAATATGGCCATCAAATGACTAATAATAGAAACAGGCCCATTAAAATCTTTTACATTTACATCTCATAAAAGGCTAAAGATGTGTCCTTTTAACTCTGCATTTTTTCCACATCATGCTAAAATATATCCACACCCTAAAGAGAAGTGTTTAAAGTAAACCTTCCCAGCTATGTGGTTACTAATGTTCATAATGTGTTTGTGTATGCCAATGAAAAAAACAAACAAACAAAAAAATAAAATAAAAACAGAACAAGTTACAACAGATTACAACAAAACAGGCCCAAGTCCAGACCAAACTGACTGAGGATGCTTCCAAGTTTCAAAGGGGTGCAAAGACAAGAGTCTTTCATTAAGTGTCATTATTTCACAAATGATGGTGCAGCGCAGTCGACCTAGGTCTCCACAAAATTCAGCCGAATATTTTAATAATTTAGCGGTTTAGTTTCAGAAAAAGATTTTAAATAACATTATAGGTCTTTGGTCATTAGTTACCACACAGCTAATTATCTATGAACAAGCTTTCAAACTTTTAATATCTTTTATCTCTTTTGCAAAGTCTATTGGGAAAAATGAATGGAAAACAACAAGAGGAAAATAATGTAGTTTACATTACAATTAGCATTATGTTTTGAGAGAATCTTTTTGTAAATTTGTGCAACGTGCTCTCTGTCTCAGAAATTGGAATTGGCATCACCAAATGGCTGAAACCTGCTGATGCAAATGAAGGGGAGACCTGCAGTTTTGAGTGCATTTTGTCCCGTGAAAGCTCAGATGAGTGCTCCTGGACGGTGAATGGAAAAACCATCACAAACGGAGGAAAATACAAAATCAGCAGTAAAGGTCGCAAATACATGCTGACCATAAATGACGTGACGCCTGCAGATGCTGGTGAGGTGGTCTTCAATATCAAAGATCTCTGCTCCAAAGCTACATTAACAGTAGAAGGTATGTTCTAAGTTAAGTAAGTTAAGTTTGATTTAAAATGCATAGGACAGTTTAGATTTCACTTTTCAATGAAACTTAGTTATTGTGATTTTATTAAAGATTTTTACTAACAAGTGTGCCTAATTTTGTTTTTCATCAGTTTTGGTTGGTTTATAATTTTACTTCTTGGTTGAACATGAGCAGCAGATATAACATAGTTAGAGGGATTACATTTTAAAACTGAGACCTACCTATTTTTGTACTTTTCTTCTAAACTTTTTCCTCAATAGTTTCTTGCCACTTAACTGATGTAAAACAATGATAAATATTTACCATAGCCACTATCCCACCATATGTCCATTTTAGAAGTTCAAAACGCTAATATGGTTTAACATCTTATAGGCAAAGCTTCATCTGTTTCAAAAGCTCTGGAGAATGTGAGCGTCGTCCAAGGAGAAGACGCTGTTTTCATCTGTGAAGTAACCAAGTCCAGCTCCACCGTGAAATGGGCCAAAGACGGAAGAGCCATTAAGAAGAGCCACAAGTATGACATCAGTCAGGAGGACACAGTCGTGAAGCTGACTGTCCACAGCGTCTGTGCCCAAGACTCAGGGGAGTACAGCTGTGAAGTGGTGGGAGGGGCCACCACCAGGGCCTTGCTGGAGATGAAGGGTACGGTACCGTGAAACTACTGTTAAAGGTGCACTGCACAACTTTTCAGGTTTAGGGTCCACTACCTACTTGCCTTGGAAATGTTATTGCGTTGTCTAGAATGTTCCACAGTATAGATTAAATCTGTTTCTCACAGGTTACAGCACTAAGCTACATTACAATTCAGACCTGTGGAAAGTCGCTCCTATTCACAGAAAGAATTATTGTATTTTTGAGCAATGGAAAAAAACCTAATGACTTAATACTAGATGCTGCTATGCTTAGTGTTATATTTAGTGTAATACCATGGAACATTCTAGGGAAACCCATAACATCTCCATGGAGATGAGCAGGTATACTCCACCAGAAAAATTGCGCATTGTACCTTTAACAACAACTAGCACTTCTTATTTTTACATGACCATATTAAACATTCAACTTATAGTATATTGAAGTATGGCAGTCCAATGTCTAGGAGTGTTATTTTTTAGTTAGTTTTTTTAGTTGCTTTTTAGTTGGCCAACAGAAAAACAAACACAAATCATATGCCTATTAATTACTTTCTGTGTAGAGCCAATCCACAAGTTCAGCAGAGCTCTGCAGGACAGCCAGGCTGAGGAGAAGGGCTCAGTGAGTCTACTGTGTGAAACAGTCCAAAGCCCGTCCACTGTGGTGTGGCTGAAGGGACACACAGAGCTGAGAGCAGGAGGGAGGTACCAGATGACCCAGAAAGACTGCCTCCTGACCCTGACCATCTCGAACTTGGAAGAGCACGACACTGACATCTACACCTGCGACGTGGGCACTGCCAAGAGCATGGCCAAGATCACCGTCAAAGGTAGGGACTCGTGTCTTTATGTTGAGTGAATGCTTATGGAGGTTGTATATGACCTCAGCATTCTGAATTTGTGTTAATAACTGAGACTGGAACTGTAAATTTCATGTGGAGTTTAGATCTAATTAAAATCTAACAAACCACCACTAAACAAAGTTTTTTTTAATGTTTATATTAACAACTTGATCACATGTTGCAGCCATCTCTCCTCACTTGTAATAACACCATTTCTACCAAGACTGTGAAGCACCATCTACAAGGCTCTCACAAATGTCCTATAAAGCCACATTTTTACATAATCATCTTGACTCTGTTCATCATTAACTAAAATCATGTTCCATGCGATAATTTACTACATGTATTATTAACTCTTCATATTCCATTGTCTTGTGTAATTCAATACTGTATTTATGAACAATGGATTGTTATGCTATGACTAAATGCAAAAGCTTGGATTGTCCAGCTTTACCCGCCACCTTTACAAAGAAGCTGCAGAGCCTGGAGGCTGAGGAGGGGGCCAGTGTGAGCCTGCGCTGTGAGCTCTCTAAACCTGAGCTCCCAGTGCAGTGGAAGAAGGGCACACAGAGCCTGAAGTCTGGAGACAGACACCAGCTGAAGCAGAGAGAGTGTGTGAATGAGCTGCTCATCACCAAAGTGCAGCCAGAAGACTCTGGAGACTACATCTGTGTGTGTGGAGACCAAAAGACCACTGCCACACTCAGTGTCAAGGGTAGGAAAAATACTACTGTAATGAATAGACAGTGTGAGATGTGTCTGGTGTTGTGTCATGTCTCAGTCCTGTGCCATGTGAGTTCTGATTGGATATTGTGTCCCAGGTCCCTCATGAGGGCAGCTGTTAAGTATTGTTATGTTAATTTTATGTAGACTTTATTCTGGCATGTTGCAGACTACAATGCCAAGATAAAACTACTAAATGATTTGTGAAAAAAAAAAACTCCACTAAAGTAGAATATGATCTTTGCAAATAAATGTCAGTTGTCATAGGGTCCGGTCAAGCGGTAAAGGAGGGAAACGGGCAGATTTTTTACATTCAAATAGCTCTTATTCAGAAACTAGAGGGACTATTGAAATAAGTAAGGTATTAGAATGTAGGAAAGAGTTACACTCCAACAGGGTAAAGTTAAACCTGCGATATTCTTTCAAGTTGTTGACAAAAATTTTTAAAACTCATGTTGGTAATGGAGGGAATGAGATATGCAGCACTTTTTGGGCAATAAATACAAACAGCGATAACTACTGGTTCTCACTTACATATCCTTAACAAACTGGTCTGAATATTTGCTTCATATAGTTTCTACCATATGGTACAAGATTAAGTTGAAAAACCTCTTACTTTGAGTAATGAGATTTTTTTTTATTAAGAAAGGTCATGGTAACGGAGGGAAAAGTAACAGAGGGAAAATTGTGCAAGCAAGTAGAAGGTGCATGATTTTGCATAATTTGTCAGCTTTTTTCTTCCGAATACTTTAATATTACTTCAAAATGAAAGGAAACTATTTCTATAAAATATGTCAGTCCTTCCAAGCAAATGTTTATCATTTTAAATACATAAAAAAAAAAAATCATGTACCTTCATCAAAAGTTCAAAGATCAAATAATACAAGATATGATGAAATACATCAATTTATTTACATGATTTTCAGGTCTTTGAAATTTGGGAAATTTTTGTTCCATGTTGCATACATGGTCTGTTTAAAACGTATGTAACTTTAGAACCAAAAATGATACAGAAAAAAGGTAAACAGTTTCATAAACTATAGTACATATGCTATCTGTTGAATACATTTTTATATCAGATGCATTAACTTGAATTTTTGGCCTTGCTGTGTACTTCAGCTTGACCGGGCCTCATAGTCTCTGCTGTGACTAATACGCTAATTAGCTCAGATAGGATTTATCCCAAGTTTAAACATGTGTCCAGCTTTTATATATGTACAAACCTGTAACAGCTTTGTCTATGTTCTTTCTGTGGGCCCTGGGCTGTCATATGCCAGATCCTGTCTGTAACTTGTCTGTCTTTTGGTTACTTACTAATCTGCTAATACTCACTCAGCCCTACCAGCGACCTTCAGCCAGAAGCTGCAGAGCGTGGAGGCTGTGGAGGGGGCCAGTGTGAGCCTACGCTGTGAGCTCTCTAAACCTGGGCTCTCAGTGCAGTGGAAGAAGGGCACACAGAGCCTGAAGTCTGGAGACAGACACCAGCTGAAGCAGAGAGAGTGTGTGAATGAGCTGCTCATCACCAATGTGAAGCCAGAAGACTCTGGAGACTACATCTGTGTGTGTGGAGACCAAAAGACCACTGCCACACTCAGTGTCAAGGGTAGGAGTAGGATCATTAATTAGCTACATTAATATTTATGACCAAAACTTCTGTCTTTAGTGTAGTCCCTATAATTAAGTTATATTTGTCCAGAGTTTGCCTCTACCTTATCTCATGCATTAAGCTGAAATGGCTCTAGTCTCAAGGTGCTTTTAGAGCATTTCTTTTAAAGATCCAACTTAATGCCTTATTCAGGCTTTGTTTAACTGTTATGTGACCCTTTAGCATTGGCATTTCAAGTCTTACAACTTAAATTTTGAGTATGAATGGTAAATAAATTCAGCATTGAATTACGTGCGTACAAAACAACATGGTTGTCAGTAGAGGCCATAAAGCCTATACCTACTGCTGTACAGAGGAGTGAAGAAATTCTTTTCAGGCTGAAAACATTAACTTTCTCTTTCAAACTTGCGAAAAAATGCATCTTAGTGTTAACAAAGTGTTAATAGATCAGAACAGGCCTGGTGAAGGTGTATTCACCTCATTCTGCCCCGCTCACTTTTACCTCTAGCTGCTACTGATCTGCACTTCTGATCGTGTTGGCATTTCCACTTAAGTGGGTATGCTATGCATTTCTATGGCAAACTACAGAAATGTCTTGCCTCTAAAGTATATAGGATAGTATGGATATAACGTAGGTTGATTTGTGTAAAACGTTCAGGGTTCATGTGTAACAATAAGTTATTAATGCACGCTTTCTCTGGAGGCTGGAAAATGGCTTTGTAGTCTGTATAGAACCTATTTGCTGTCAAGATCGGCAGCCCTGTGTAAATGATACAGCTAGAAAAAGGGATACAGATAATGACAGCGTCTGCGGCAATTTCCTGAATAAGATGAATAGCCTTTAAAAACACAAAGGAGCACTTCTTGGATCACCACATAATGATGTCACAAAGTAGGAGAGTTTTAGACTTTGAAGAGGGAAACCACCAAAGATGCAAGATTACTGGAATATGTGTCAATAACGCAAACACAATTCCAAATATGTCTTTAATGAGGAATATAATTGTTCCATGATTATATGTCTATTTAGCATAATATGGGACCTTAAGCACTTCATATATGTGTACCAACCTGTACCAGGATTTTGGATTGAGGGTGTGTTGTAACATTTGCTTAGGTTGTTGTGTGTCCTTATTGTTAATGTGTTTGTATGTCATGTCCATTATAACTAACTCACTAATACTCACTCAGCCCTACCAGCAACCTTCACCCAGAAGCTGCAGAGCGTGGAGGCTGAAGAGGGGACCAGTGTGAGCCTGCGCTGTGAGCTCTCTAAACCTGGGCTCTCAGTGCAGTGGAAGAAGGGCACACAGAGCCTGAAGTCTGGAGACAGACACCAGCTGAAGCAGAGAGAGTGTGTGAATGAGCTGCTCATCACCAAAGTGCAGCCAGAAGACTCTGGAGACTACATCTGTGTGTGTGGAGACCAAAAGACCACCGCCACACTCAGTGTCAAGGGTAGGAGGAGGATTATTGTAGTGAATAGACAGTGTGAGATGTGTCTGGTGTTGTGTCATGTGTCAGTCCTGTGCCATGTGAGTTCTGATTGGATATTGTGTCCCAGGTCCCTCATGAGGGCAGCTGTTTAGTATTGTTATGTTAATTTTATGTAGACTTTATTCTGGCATGTTGCAGATTATTCATACTACAATGCCAAGATAAATCCACTGAATGATTTGTGTAAAAAAAAAAAAATTCCACTAAAGTAGAAAAGGATTTTTACAAGTAACTGTTGACTGTCATAGTCTCTGCCATGTCTTATATCCTATTTCAGTCAACTGGGATTTGTCCCAAACGTCTAAACATGTGTCCAGCTTTTATATATGTACAAATCTGTAACAGCTTTGTCTGTGTTCTTTCTATGGGCCCTGGGCTGTCATATGCCAGATACTGTCTGTAACTTGTCTGTCTTTTGTTTACTTACTAATCTGCTAATACTCACTCAGCCCTACCAGCGACCTTCAGCCAGAAGCTGCAGAGCCTGGAGGCTGTGGAGGGGGCCAGTGTGAGCCTACGCTGTGAGCTCTCTAAACCTGGGCTCTCAGTGCAGTGGAAGAAGGGCACACAGAGCCTGAAGTCTGGAGACAGATACCAGCTGAAGCAGAGAGAGTGTGTGAATGAGCTGCTCATCACCAAAGTGCAGCCAGAAGACTCTGGAGACTACATCTGTGTGTGTGGAGACCAAAAGACCACTGCCACACTCAATGTCAAGGGTAGGACACTTTGTTGTTTTAATTACTTTGTTTTTCCAATTTTTAATATTTGTATTTTATTTTTCTAACTGTATTACACTTTGTGTCAGCTGTATGCTCACATGAATTTATTTAGGTGTGATCACAATTTTCCATTATTGTGTGTTTTTGCCAAACCTGATGACATGAACTGAAAACTGAAAGTGTATGTCATATCACATAGTTGGTTGTATTACAAATGTAAGTCTAATTTATTGCTCACAATTCCGTACACCAGAAAAAAAAAAGGGATTTGTCATCTTAAAAAACTATCTGTCCACTAGATTCAGTGCTGATAGCTTCCAAATCATACCATACCATACCAACTTTATTTATAAAGCATTTTAAAAACTTTTGGCCAAAGTGCTGTACACAAACACAGAATAGACAAGGACAATTGCAATACAACACAATACACAATACAAATACAATCAGTGTCTAAGCTTGAATCTCAGGAGCAAGTGACCACAGAAACACCAGGAGGTATGAAAAGAGGAGAGCAATGTATGCCATGTGATCACTCGTCCTGTTGTTTTGTGCTTTTGCCGTTAACAACATAGCTTCTGTGCAATCTCTGTCTTACTTTGGAATTTGCATGTTAAAAATACTAGTAATGCAGTATCACAGTTGTTATATGTCTCTGCTATACTCTCCTCAAGAGCTCTGTGGGCTTAAAAGTTGAGCACAAATTGAGGATATTGTCATGTTCTTCATACAACATGTATATTTCAGCCAATAAGCCTGAGGCACTGTCCATAATCTCCAAAGACAAAGATAAAGAGAAGCTAAAGAAGCAGGTGGTGAATGAGGCAGTGGAAGGTAATTCACTGGGAGCTTTGTTGTTTGTCCTTTGGTTTATTGCTTCATATTATGTCCTGCTTTAGGTGTCTTGTATACAGGCTGGCTTTGCAAAGTATATTATTTTGTATTTCTAAAACATAGCGTTTGCCCATAGTAGATTGGTTATCTGAATATTGTCTATACTTGCAGTACAGTTGTGGCTTTTGGGTCAGTTTGTAGTGTTTTGCACTGCAGTAATTCCTCTGCATCAGACAGCAAAAGTAAAGCAGGGCTCAAGCAAAACAAACTGGAGGTTAAAGAAACAGTTGAAGGAAATATACATGTCGACAGCTGCTTGTCTGTACAAGCTGTAGGATGACCAGACATCCCGAAAAACTTGGGACAGTTCCGAAATCTAAGCTGTTGTCCTGAATCCCAAATCCGGCGATAAGTGTCCTGAAAGATACACTTATACTTACATTAACAGAATAGTAGTAGTAGTTAGTTATAATAGTAGTAGTTATTATCTGATAAACATGAAAAATTGTTCGTAGAGAGTTTCAGTGGACTGCATGCAGCCCTAATTGCCGCTGATAAGCTGCACGCATCCCCTGCCATTTTGTAATGGCTACAATGTATCTATTTTGTTTATTTTTTTACTTTCTTCAATTAGTCGAATATGCACTGACGATAAGTTCATTTTCATTCATTCGACATGGCTGGTGTACCAGAACCCAAACATGCCGCTAAAAAGCTATCTTTTATTATTGTCTATGTATTATCATTGAGTCTAATCTCATTTGATCACCCTAACAAGCTGAATTGCTGTTTATGTTAGCATTACAACCAGCTAGATTAATAGATAACTTGGCCAATGCAACAATTATCTGTTTACAATTACAATTACAATCTGCCGTTTTTATTACTGTTGCTAATACTTGGTCTGACTTGAAATACACCGTACTGTACAGTAGTGTTTTTACCTAAATTTATTTATCTATGGCTATTGTAGCAATTAGAGATTGTGTTATTTGTTGTGTCTGTGCACATGGGAAAAAGAGAAACGTAATTTCGATTTCTTTTCTATGTTCTACTATATGTGAAGAAACTGACAATAAAGCTAACTTTTAATTAAGACCGATACAAAATTATATTTAAAAAAATGTATTAAATGTTTGAAATTTTAATAAAATATAACATAATAATAATACAATAAAACAGTGAGGACAAAAATAACTTTAAAAAGTATTGTGATCCTGGTACTATGTCTTCTAGCAGTTTAACAGTTTAAAGACAAACAGCTACTTATTATTGAGTTACACATGGCCACTTCCTTGTTTAACATCTTTCCAGCCTGTTGTATGCTTTGACAGATGGCTCAGCTACTGTACAGATATCAGAAATTTCACTAATATAAAATGGAAACACCAAGATGGACCCTTGTGGTATCCCCATGTTATATTACACAAGGACCAATATTGTGATATTGTTTGTGACATACAGCTGTAGTTTGATTTAATACTTATAGTAATAAATGTTATGTAATTTGAATAAGTTATTTAGTATCTTATATTGAATGTGATAGATAGTGTCTGGCAAAGTGATATTCCATCAGTCTTGTAGCCAGTGCATAAGCTACTGCAATTTTAGATGTTTGAATCTTTTCTCATTATCTTAGCTGTCATGCTGCCACCTACTGGACAGATTCCTAAACTGGAACAGATTTCTAAGCAGGAAACAGCAACACAAGGTAATTTAACTGGTTAGAATTTTTGCTTAGCTTTATGTTGCCAAAATGAGACAGTGTAAGGTAATTCACTGGGAGCTTTGTTGTTTGTCCTTTTGTATATTGCTCTACATTATGTTCTGCTTTAAATGTCTTGTGTATAGGTTGGCTTTGACAATAAACTTTGTATTATTTTGTATTTCTAAAATATAGTTTTTGCACATAGAAGATTGCTTGTCCCTGAATGTTGGCTATACTTGTAGTACAGTTGTGACTTTTTGTAGTAACACTGACTTAGTTGCCTCTGACCGCAGTAATTCCTCTGTTTCAGACAGCAAAAGTGAAGCAGGGCTCAAGCAAAAGAAACTGGAGGTTATAGAGACAGTTGAAGGTAATATAAATCTCAACTGCTGCTTGTTTGTACAGGCTGAAATGCTGCTTTTACAGATGTCAGAAAGTTCACTGATATAGGGCCCTATCTTGCCCCCGATCTTAGCGCTAGCGCAAGTGTTGGGCATGGAGCTCTAAACAAGATGTGTGAGATTCTTCAATATTGCGTGGAGTAGAGCAGACTGAAGCTGTTTTATTGTACTCATATATAATTTTTCCTCATTCCCCTCTTTGCTGCCTGGCAATGAGGCAAAGATTGCAGACATTACTCACACTGGTAGTGCTTTTCAGTGCCACAGCGGGCACAGGTTGGTTGAGATGTCATCACCATATATATACCGTCCCACTCCAGCCGCCAGCAGCGATCTACAGCCCGATAAGGACATGCCCCCTCCTTAATGCTAGCGCTAGTGGCAAGGCCGAGGCAAGATAGGGTCCCTTGAATCAAAACAGCCAGGGACCCAAGATGGACCCTTGTGGTATCCCCACATTATATTACACAGGGACAGATAGCAGTAAAACATGACTTAACACATAACAGAATAAATGTTATGCAATTCTAATCACTTGTTTTATCTTACTGTATATACAATGTGATAGAGCCTGGTAAAGTGACATTTCACCAGTCTTGTAGTCAGTGCACAAATGACTGTAATTGTAGACATTTGAACATGTTCTCATTATCTTAGCTGTCATGCTGCCACCCACTGGACAGATTTCTAAGCAGCAAACAACAATAACAACAACAACACAAGGTAATTTAACTGGTTGGATTTTTTGCTCAGCTTTCTGCTGCTAAAACAAGACAGTGGAAGGTAACTCACTGGGAGCTTTGTTGTTTGTGCTTTGGTATATTGCTCTACATTGTATCCTGTGTACAGGCTGGCTTTTGGCAATGTATTATATTATTGTATTATTTTGTATTTTTAAAAACATACAGTAGCTTTTGCACATAGAAGATTGCTTGTACCTAAATGTTGGCTATACTTGCAGTGCAGCTGTGGCTTTTTGTGGTATCGCTGACTTAGTTGCCATTGACCTCAGTAAATCCTCTCTTTCAGACAGCAAAATTGAAGTAGGGCTCAAGCAAAAGAAACTGGAGGTTATAGAGACAGTTGAAGGTAATATAAATCTCAACTACTGCTTGTCTGTACTAGCTAAAATGCTGCTTTATTTTAGCATTACAACCAAGTAGATTAGTAGATGCGTTGGCCAATGCAACAATGAAGGCAAATTCAAAAATAACAAAAAAATATACATAGTTACTACTATACATATTTATGAAATGTTTTAAATAAAAAAATATGTGATAGTGCCTGGCAAAGTGATATCAGTCTTGTAGTCAAACGTCTGTACTTTTAAATGTCTGAACTTTTTCTCATTATCTTAGCTGTCACGCTGGCGCCCACTGGACAGATTCCTAAATTTGAACAGATTTCTAAACAGGAAACAACAACAACAATACAAGGTAATTTAACTGGTTGGATTTTGCTCGTCTTTCTGCTTCCACAATGAGGCCTATGCTTTCCTAGCTGCCTATGAGCTAAAGGTACATATATATATACTTTTTGCTTTGTTTTTGTGTCATATTTTATTTTAACACAACAGAAATGAAGTTGGTGACCGCCTCTGTTGAGACCACCAAAGCAGTGGAAGGTATGTTATCTCATTGTCCTTTGCTGAAGTATTCTTGTTCTTGTTTTTTGGCTTTTTGATGTGGTTCAGTCTATTGTTACATGTGCTTTTCTTGTGCTCCTTATAAGACATTGTTGTTCCCTGTTGTTGGAGTTCAAGTGTTGCAGTTGTGTTGGTCTGTACTGTACTCACAGCACAGTTACAGTATGATAATAGATTGGAAATTGATAAGATAGGTAAAATGCAGATATATTTCCATGAGTAATTACCATGTACTCAACATCATTAGATTTTTATTTACAATGCTACTTCCATCCTATTATCATCCACTGCTCTGAAATGACGTGCTATTGTATGTACAGTAAATATATTTTCAAATTTTATGTTTAGTTTCAAATATTTTTAGAGTTGTGCTAAAATGAGTTGCAGAGAAGTCTCTTGCTTTGTTTTTGAGTAGCCTACAGAT